GGTGTTGTCTTGTGTTTGGTAATTGAGCCAAAGGTTGACAGCTTTCCTCCTCCTCTCATTTCACGTCACCTGCCGATCCAAACTCAGGAGAGGTCGTCTAACTGATCACCTCCTCTTCCCTCACCACCAGACGGAGACAGTGTAGTCATTGGAGCTGTTGCTAATTGTTGCTACTCAGACGGCCCAGTTCCGTATAATTTTTACGAGTGGCTAGTCTCTTTCGTGTTATTTGATTAATTGGGGTATCTACTTAGCCCTTGTATTGAGTCATTGGTCTTACCACAACCACACCTCTCCGAGAGACCCATTGTGCTATAACACCAGTAGTTTTGTAAACTGTAGCAGAGACAGAGTGAGGGAAACATGGCAGTAGTCTGGCATGTGGAAGGTAGGGTCTGGGAACTTTTGCACGGTTTTTATTTAGCACCGGGATATGTGTCCCACCAATGAGATTTCAGGATTTTGTCATGTGACAGGCGTAATTAATGCATATTGTCCTGATTGGTAGATTTTAAGAGATAAAGCCCTTTACTAAGGGACGTGTGTGTGTCTGTCTGTCGCAGGTTTAGCGGTCTGACGGCTGAGGACTTTGCCCCAGGGCAGACTGTCACTCTGGAGGAGGTGCAGAGGAAGATGCTGGGTCTGGTGGGAGACGATACCATTCTGTTGGGACATGGTCTGGAGAGTGACCTCAGATCTCTCAAGGTACATATTATACTTACAGTGGGACCTCTCAAAATGACCATTTGGATACAAAACACCTCTCTGTGAAGGACACTGTAGTTTGCCCATGCTACTACTAAAGGTCACAGCAACTTCTTCCACTTCTTCGTTTATCCCAGATAATCCACGTGAGAGTGGTTGACACGGCAATAGTGTTCCCTCATCGCAGGGGCCCCCCTCTCAAGAGGGCTCTGAGGAACCTAATGAAGGATCATCTCAACAAGATCATACAGGACGACGTCGGTAATACCTGACTGAGGGTGCCTGTTGCGATGACCAGCACATTATTATTCCCCCATGTTCTTACTAGCTAAAGTATGAGAAAATTAGGCCACCCTTTCTTCTCTAGTCCAGATATGTTTCCACAGATTCAGGTTGTGAATATAAGTAATACAATATGTCCCTCCACAGACGGCGGTCATGACAGTCTGGAGGATGCCAGAGCATGTATGGAGCTGATGCTGTGGAAGACAAGAGGAGACCTTCAGAAGACCACCAGGAGAGGTGCCTCCTGACTCCACCCATTACTCCTCCCACTTCTGACTACACCCATTACTCCTCCCACTTCTGACCACACCCATTTACACTTCAATCAATTGGTCTACTATACTCTGCTGCCTTCACAATTTTTTTTTATTGTCGCCCAATTATTATACTCCCATGTTTTATGTTGTGTTTTCAAATTCTCAAGAAACCCAATTTTGCACAACCAAATTATGCAGAGCTCTTTATAACGACGCACACAGTTGCAATTGGGGCAACTTCTGTGCTATTTTTAAAGTTATAAAAGCACCATGAATAGGTGGTTGGTGTAAAAGCAAATTGTTGTATACTAGAGGTAGTTGGTAGTCCATAGTGAGACAGTGAGGTCACTAGATGAGATTGCCAGTGAACTAAGAGAGCTGTCGAGTCCCGTGATGTCCGCCTTGTGGTTTTGCAGCGTAGTTATGTGGGTGTGGCCTGGGGCGGGGCTGTGTATCGCCACGGTACCGTCCCTTGACCCCGAGGCCACCATCCCCAGGTTGTGGAATACACAAGTGAGTGAGTCTTGGTGTGCTGGCATGTAGGACTGGAGGGAAGAGAGAGAGACGAGGGACTGTCACTCGTGCAGAACAAAACACTTTTTGCAAATTTCATTAACATTATTATTTTTGAATGTCATGCACACTGGCTGACTGCATTCGTGAACCCTTTCTACCGTGATTAATGGAAGACTGACTGGCTACACGATTTTGTTACAATACCCCACTGCAAAAGTATAGTTTACCGATAGTTTAGTAAGAGTTCCCTGAGAGATGTCGAAGATGGTGATCCTCTTCTGCCCAGAGCAAGACAGCTTCCCATAGCCACAGTGGAGTCCACTCACTAGTCGAGGCAGCTGTATATATAACATGGAGGAGGGTGGGCAGATGGGCAAATGTAAATCAATGATCATTATAAAGTCAGTGTGTATGTTGTGAGTATCAGTATAGACTAGACGGGGTTGGTGGCTGTTGAAAGCTGTATGTATGTAATTGGCACCTTCACAGTCTGCAGTACTTGGTGAGATCTTCTGTCCCAGACACACACACACCTGTCCTCTCCTCCGGTGTAGACGTAGCTGTCGGAACAGGCGAGGGCCAGAACTGGTGCTCTGTGCTCATGTGTTCAGCCACCAGAGACGGCGGCATCCTCAGATCAAACTCCTTCACTCTCTTGTCGTACGTGGTGCTAACCAGGGTGTTGGGCTCAGGGAGAGCCAGAGACAAAATGGCCGCTCTGTGCTGCTTCCTGACACGGACAAAAAACATAGAGCTTTAGCTGATTGAATTGTCTGTAGAAATAAAATCTGCAGAGGAAAATATCCATAAAGAGAGGTAATTTAAAATGGAACCTTGTTTACATGGTTCTTTGTGAAATGAAGTGTTTAAAAAACTCACGAGATGGAGGCCACCATTTTGGCTACCACGGCATCCCAGACGTGTATGGTAGAGTCCCAGCCTCCGGAACACAGCAGTTCAGGTCTGTGTCTGTGGGACCCCAAACACCACACCCACCCCTACGTGAAATACCATGGAGACGGAGAACGAGTGGGGACTATACTCTCGAGCTAACGTATTCAGGTTGGCTTGTTGGCCTTACTTCTCCCCCAAGTTCTTGCTAAAATTCCACAAGTTAGACTAATCAACCATTATTTCCTACAATATTGTTTGTAGTGAACTCTCTGCAGAAGGTAAATTATTGGGATCCACATTTAACCCTTTAGCCTCATCCAAATTTAACCCCTTCCTTACCACGTGGCCTTCCATCCTGTAGACAATGTTCCCCCTCATGCTGCGGGAGCCTCTCTCCGCTCCGTGGCCACGCCTCCTCCAGAGGTAGATGGAGGAGTCCCTGCAGCCTGCAGCAACCAGTCCCACTGAGCCGTGGGCCTCTGGGAACATCAGATGCACACAGTCAACTCCTCCAGTTGGACCTACAATACCATCATCATAATGATGTGCCTGGGAATGCAGACCAACTGTACCTCTGAGGGTGGTGGTTGTGACGGTGTTGCGGCCGAGATGACGAGAGAACTGAGCCTCAACGCAGCCTCGCTGCCACACCGAGGCCTCCTGCTCCCCCCTCGAGGTAGAGAGGGAAGGGGGCGTGGCACACACGAGGGCCGCGTACTGTCTCTTCCAGAAGGAGTCGCTGCGGAGGAGTGTGCGCAGTCTTCTGCAAGTGGCAGACACTCGGACGATGAGCTGAGTAGGTGGGAGGTAGAACAGGATCTTCTCCAGCAGCTCCGGTGGAAGATCAAACAGGTGCAGCATCTTAGCCGCGAGGTTAAAGGTCAACATGTGTGCGTATTGACCACACCCCTAAATTCTGGCAGGGATCTCGTGACCTGTTTAGTGCTCTTTCTCTCCTGTTTCCCCAGCGTTTTTCCAGGACGCACGACAAGATATGGCCTCCATATTCGCCGAAGCGACGCGTAAAGCGGCCAGCGCTCGGTTCAAGCAGCCGCAGCTGGACGCAGAGGGTCAAAGGATCGAGGTAAACGATGGGGGCGTGTCTCATCTCCTCATTGCATCTCTGTCCTCCGTGGATGAGTAGGTGGACATCAGGGAGGACGAAGAGCAGAGTGTCAAGCTGCGAGAGAGTATCGATCTTCTGCTGGCTGCCGGTTACTTCAGAGCCAGAATCAAGGGCCTGTCTCCGTTCGACAAGATAGTGGGAGGCATGACGTGGTGCATTCAGGCCAGCGCCTTCGACGTGGACGTTGACCTTCTCTTTCAGGAGAACTCCACCATTGGACAGAAGATGTCAGCACTTTCTCCATTCAACACTGTCTCTGTGTGACTTTGCATACAGAGAACCCTCTGAATAAAGTGAACCCTCTGAATAAAGAACCCTCTGAATAAAGAGAACCCTCTGAATAAAGAACCCTCTGAAAAAGAACCCTCCATTATAAAGAACCCTCTGAATAAAGAACCCTCCATTATAAAGAACCCTCTGAATAAAGAACCTCCATTATAAAGAACCCTCTGAATAAAGAACCCTCCATTATAAAGAACCCCTCTCCATAGAACACTTGGTTCTGCTGCATTAGTTTACCTCTGAATAAAGGACACTTTTGATGTCCCCTAAAGTGCCACTTAATCTGTGTCTATACTGCAGCATTTTGTCCTTCCCTCTTTATTTAACAACGATTTTTCCTCACTCCTCCTTTCTTCCACCTCTTTGCCCCTGACACTCAGAGCCCTGACGGAGAAGATAGTGGCGGTGCTGCCGCGAATGAAGTGTCCCCACAGACTGGAGCCCCACCAGATCCAGGGTCTGGACTTCATCCACATCTACCCCGTCATCCAGTGGCTGGTGAAGCTCGCCATTGCCACGAAGGAGGAGATGGGAGACTACATTCGGGCCTTCTCTGAGGCCCAGTTCTCAAGAGACCACCTAACCCCTGAGGTAGATATGTGGTGACACGAGGAGAGGATGTGAGAGTAAAAATTTTGTGAACGTAGATTGAATCACCAAATTTTTTGATTGAAATCATGTTAGTAGTTTGTGAATTTGGGGGCAATAGTCATTAATTTTAGACCTTCGTTTCGGTTTATTTGGTTCACAACTGTTTGTATCCAGGACAGGGATTTCGAGGCAAGGAAAGAGAAGGCAATACTGTCGGTTGACAGTGTGAAGGTGGGTCATGTGATAGTCACGTGACGTGTCAGATGAGATCATGTGACCTCTACAGGAGACCTATAAACCCCAGAGAAGGTACAAGAAGCCGGACATGTCTTTTGTCAGAGTTGATGAGGAGACACAAGTCCACACTACTCTACTGGAATATGGCAGGTATGTGCAACCTCTGAAATAGCTACTGTTGGCCAAATATTGTGTGGCCTTCTTCAGTGTGACTGGAGTTTCTTTTATTCACACAGGCCAAATGTCGGGAATAGATAATATTATGTAGAGATCAATGTATCATATGTTTCCCTGTATCTGCCACTGGGTCTTGAGCGTTCTATTTATCCAATGTATGTTGTTGTAGTGGGAAGTAGGTGTGAAGGTATATAGCAACCCAACACTAGTCAATATTCCAACACTATTAATACACCAATACATGTAGTATTCTATGGTAGGGGAGGTGTCTTGTTAGCAGAGTGTTGAGATTCATTCATGAACCACTGTCTGTTCACACCAGGAGATACGGACTGGGTCGTACCATCAAGACTGACAAGGTATGGGAGTATGTGAGTGTGGTGCCAGTGGTGAGAGTGTGTGGATGTCCAGGAGGAAGACAAGGACTCTCGGAAGAAGGCCGTAGCAGCCAGTCTAGGGGGTGTGGCCACTGCCGATGGGACAGACGAGAGAGCAGATGAAGAGGTCACTATAACAAATCACTGAATTCTTTCTTTCCTCTCCTCCTACATTACAAATTAATTTTCACGGTAAATTTTATGACAGAAAAGTGGGCAACTGTTTTGTATATACCTCACTCGATGCTGCAACATTGACACGTACTTGCAGACTGTTTCTCTTATCTTCTCTCTCTCTGGCTACAGAAGAGGATTAGGGCCCTGATGAAGGGAATGGCTGAGACTGAGAAGGACGAGGTTTGCTTACAAATCTTCTCACCCAGTTACTCCACTAACACACCCCTCCCCTCTCGTTGGCCAGTCGTTTGTGTCCAAGGCGGCGGTGGGCTCATTGTTGGGCTCCAGTCAGCACAGATACAGCAGATGGCGTCAGAGTACGAGGAAAAGGTGAGAGAGGGAGATAGAGATCTTTAATATTATAGTAACACTGTCTGAGAATGAGGCTGTGAACTTCTCTATAATATAGGACACTTGGTTCTGCCCCACATACTGACGCATTAGTGTATTATATTACATCGGAGTATGGGACATCTCTGAATAGAGGACACTTTGATGTCCCGAAGGTGTCCCTAATTCAGAGGATTCACTGCATGTACCTACATACATACATACATACAGAGAGCGGACCTGGAGGCGGGGAAGAAGCCAGACAAGGTGATGGGAGCTCAGGCACACAAGAGGACAGTGGCTGCCCTCCAGAAACAGATAGCGGTGCAGGAGAAGAAGATGGAGGAGGTGAGAAACTGGCCACAATAATTTCTTATTGCCTCGCGTCTTTCCCCAACTTGCTCAGAGTGTTCCCCCTATCTTGCTCCTAGTACCTTTGGTGTCCCCCCCATCTCGCTCCAACATTCTTACTCACACAAACTATGTGTGTTTTAGAAAGCAACATGAGTACACTTTCACTAGAGAAAATTACCTTACAAATGAATGCTCAACACAAAAACGTTGTAAACACAAACACAGCTAATTGGAAGTTTCTCACTGATCCAGTGTGTACTGCCCTACCCTATTGCTGTAGGCTCAAGTGGTACACGATGAGCTGCAGGGACAGTACACAGCAGCCCAGACCAAACTGGAGGAGGTGAGGTTACTATTGAGGTAGTGTGTGACATATCCACACACTGAGTAATGTGGGATGTGCCCTGCCTTGTGTTGTTCATTGACTGAGGGATTTGTTCACAGGTGGAGGTGTACAGTAGGAAGATTGCTGAGGAGATGGAGAAACTGAACGAACTGGAGACCGACGAAAACAGAGAGTGAGTTCATCAAACAAATTCTCTATAAATTTCGTCCTCGTTCAGAGCTAACATTGTCTCAGGATCCTGCGTTGCCTTCCTATTGTGACTTGCCAGATGATTAATTAACGCAGGGACGCACCCTCCCTCTCTCCAGGGTTCTGGAGCAGCTGCGTTCCCTGGTGGCCATGAACGAGAGTCTCAAACGGCAGGAGGCTCAGTTCAAGGCCCACTGCCGGGAGGAGAAGACGCGACTGGAGGGGGAGATCGAGCGGCTGCAGATCTCGGTCGGCCATGGCTCCACTGAGGACCAGGAGAGGACCGCCAACATCATGAGGCACTACGAGGCCGACAAAGAGAGAATGCAGAAAATTAGGGCTCTTTTGGTGAGCGCCTCCCTCCTCCTCTTCAACTGCCTTTATTGACCAATAGTCATCACACTGCCTTGCCCGTGCCCAGCCTCGTCTGTGTCCCTACACATGTTGCGAAACCCTTTAAATAGGTTACATTAGTATTAGCTTTAACCATTGTCTTTATAGATTGGTGTCACTTGGCAATGCCATTGGCCTGTGTATTACCGTTGTTGTATAATGTATGGTGTGCATGCAGGCTCGTAAGAACAGAGAGATAGCTCAGCTCCAGAGGAAGATTGACGAAGTTCCTTCACGAATAGAGATGGCCCAGTACCAGCGGAGATTCATTGAGCTCTACAACCAAGGTCAGCAGGGGTTAAACGGGTTATAGAGTGATTCCACAGTAGTGGTATAGAGTGATCCACAGCAGTGGTATAGAGTAATGTGGTTGTGGCTGTGTGTAGTTGCTTCGACTCTGACTGAGACCAAACAGTTCTACACACTCTACAACACTCTGGAGGACCAGAAGGAGTTCATGGAGAAAGAGGTAACCCCTGTCTATTCCCACACCAATTACTTCTCTCTCTTCTCTCTGTCAGGTGGAGATTCTTAACAATATTCACGAGAAGTTTGAACTGTAAGTTAACCGCCAACTGATTCCTCCTTTGTTTATAGTTTTCTTGCCCCACTTCTCTACTTATTTTTTGACTGCCCCTCTGTTGCCACACACAGTGGTATGAGTACTGAGAAGAACAAGGAGCTGTTTCTACGTCAAGTCCAGGAGATTCTGAATGGAGTCAAGCAAGATAGAGAGAGGGTGAGGGTGGCAGGGTTTTGAGAAAGTTTTGATGCGTGTTTCTGTTTTACTAGTTGGAGAAGAGGAGAGGGGAGGAGAAGATGGAGAAGGACAGGCTGAACGGAATTTACCTGGAGCTGGTTGAGAAGCAGAGAGCCTACTACAAGACAGTCCGCGACTTCCAAGAGGTTATCACATCTGACTGTCATGTGACTATCATGTGAGCACTGTTTGTCTGTGCAGGAGTGTCGTAGGAACGAAATTCTAGTGTCCAAGCTGAAAGCCAAGGCCTCTCGATAGGGAATAGACTTTCTACCAGTTGTGTTTCCCAATTCCATCATTATTTTGTGAAAAAGTTCAAAGTTCAAAGTTCATTTAGCACTGCCCGTTAGGGATGGCACAAACAACGAACAAAAATAATCACACATAACTTTCAGTCTGGATAATCTCTCAAGGTGAAAGATAGAGCCCCCGCTCTGACTCTGTAGGGCTGTATTAGAGACAGGGCTGTATTAGAGACAGACCCATACGAGCATAATCTTACAGATAGAGCCCCCGCTCTGCCAGAAAGTGAATTTAGGTCGTAGTCTCTTTCGTGAGTTCAAAGTTCATGTTGGAATGGCCCTCCCGGGCATGACATGTATACAGACAAGTTAAAAAAACATGTAGGAAGCATAACACATGATTGAAGAAGGTGGGGTCCATGGTAGTCAAAGAGTCAAGTAGAGTGCACCAGGAGTTGTCTCTCTAACTCTGATTCGCACACATCCAAATTTATACCATGGTTAGCAAGACGGTTCATGGCGACAATTACGAGAAACAAACCACTAGTGGGAGGGATATAAGGACCCCTTTTGACAGAAAATATGGATCTTCGACCGACTGGCGACTTGTATCTGGCGAACATCAGCATTTGAGGTAGGTAGTGCGCATGCGCATAATATTGTCGGCGGTGCAATTTCGCAGCGCGAAGTCCGGCGGCGATATGGCGACGTTGTGCTTTGCGCTACTGCTGTCCCTTGTCACTGCCCGAGGTGGCTCTGCAACTGGTGGTTCTGGTAGGAGCGGGAGCGGGAGCGGGAGCGGTCCACTGGACATAGGGATGATGTTCCCCATGACTGGGTCTTCAGTGATTATGACCAGTGGCTTCTCTGCGACTACCAGTGCAGTCAAGACATCTGCGATTCAAACACTGACCCTTACCGCTGCAGTGATATCTACTCCAACTACAGACGTCTCTAGTCCAACTGTGACATCTAGAAGGACTATAACATCCAGGGTGACACTGACTGAATCGTCATCTAGTACTCCCATAACCCAGACACCCAGTCCAACATTGAGCTCAACTATTGAGACACTGAGTACACTTGGCCCAAGTGTGACTGAGACGCTCACCATTACACCACTGACTGAATCCAGTATTCCCGTAACCCAGACACCCAGTCCAACATCCCAAAGAAAGAGTATTAGTCCAACACTGACTGTACAGTCTGGATCTCCCGTATCCACACCAGGTGTCTTTGTCACAGAGGAAGGAGATGGGGAGGAGGTGGGCATGCCAGATAAATGGGTCCTCTTTCTTGTGGCTGGAGTGGGAGGACTTGTTGTTTTGCTTCTGCTATTAGCTGTGATAATTATGGGAGTTCACGTCTATCGCACCAGAAGGTGAGCTCTAAAGCTGCCCTGAATTATCCCTGCCTGAAACTGTTGTATACAAAAAAAACAGCTGGAATATGTACACACTTTCGAATGCACAATGGTGCTCAGTTCCTGACACCTCTTTTTCACACACAGGTCGGCAGAGAGGAGGAGAAGAGCAGTTTTGTTCTCCAACAGAGAAATGGTGCAGATCAGACAGCGGAGTCAGAGCCCCGATACCACCCCTAACCACCACCCTGCTTCCTGCGGGGTGGCCAAACAGCCCCAAACATACGAAGAGCTATATTCACGTGAGTGACATGTGGGTCTGTGAGTGTTGTATGAGGTGGCAACTAAACTCCCTCGGTCAGACAGAAAGGGAAACAAGTCAGTGTAGGGGGAGTGATTGATATAAACTAAGATCCGAGACTTTGTTTGTAGTGTTGCTGGTTGGAGAGAGTGTTCCTGTGAGTGTTGATTTTAGATAGTGCTGTGTACATTTGAGGGTTACAACTCGGTCTGCCGGTTTTGCTTTTCGTATATTTGCAAACATGTGGACTGGGAAAAGTAAACGTTTTCTTTACCTACAACGAAGTGGGTTGTTATTGGAACTCGGCATAGCATTGTGTGCGTTGAGTGTGTGAGTCCACAGCAGGGGAAGGTCTGTCCTGTAAAATATTGACACTCTTGAAATGGGTATATTATGGAAAACTATCAATTGAGTGAGGATATATTGGGTAAATAAACACCCTGGTCTCATGGGGTGTCGTCCCTGAAATGACACTGCAGATATACAAGAGGAGAACCTCCCAATTATTGAGATAAGTGAGCTCCAGACTTATGTTGAGGCCCTGGAAGAAGACCAGGCTATGGATGAGTACTTGGTGAGGAAGGAAATAGTGAGCAGTGGCCACACTTGTGTCTGTCTGTCTGTCTGTATGGCAGGAGGTATTGGAGATGGATGTCCAGCCATACACTATGACCGCCAGCCTCAAGTGTAACAGGAACAAGAACAGATACATCGATATTCTAGCCAGTAAGTCACAGCTAGTGGAGTTTCAGAGAACATCTCACTCGATCTGCTGCAGATGAGTTCACTAGAGTCCATCTTCACACTCCTGCTGGTCACACTAGGTACTCTGACTACATCAATGCCAACTACATTGAGGTATATACTATGATGTCTCTTAGCACTGACTACTATACTCTTGGTTAACACCTGTCTTTGTTCTTTGCAGGGCTACAGAAAGAGAAAAGAGTATATAGCTGCACAAGGTAGGAGCACTTGAGTCACATGATGGTCACATGATCTATCACGTGACAGGTCCACTGGAGAAGACTGGAGCCGACTTCTGGTCAATGGTATGGAGCGAAAAGAGTGCAATCATTGTCATGGTAACCAACCTGGTCGAAGATGAAAGGGTGAGCGCATGACTCCAAATTACGTCATACGTGACTCCAACTTTTGCTTCCCCAGCACAAATGTTTCAAGTACTGGCCGAGTGAGGGAGCATTGTTGGCCCACTCACTCTCAGTAGTCCTGCAAGACGAGCAGATTCTCTCAAACTACACCATTCGGAGCTTCAAAGTCACTCTCAAAGACCAGGTTGGACACCATGGTATAGAGCCACAGTGCAGCGAGTTGTTTGCTGTGCAGAGGTATGAAGGCAGTGGAGAGAGTCGAGTGGTCACTCAGTTCCACTTCACTGGCTGGCCTGACCACGGAGTGCCCGAAAACACAGAGTCAATGCTGCAGTTTGTGCGCAGAGTTCGCTCTGATATCATTCCTTCCCATGGCCCACTCATTATCCACTGCAGGTCTCTACTTTCTCATTTGAAACTGTTAATCCAGACACCAATGGGACAGAAGTGTCCATATTTTGTAAAGTGTCCTGTTAAATTGCATGAAAGCAACTATTCTTGGGGAAAGAAAGATGTGTCCTTAGAAGAGAGAGTGGTCCCACTGCATTAGTTTATGGTGGTGCTCCAAATGCAGTGCTGGTGTAGGAAGGACTGGGACTTTCATAGCAATAGACGTGATGCTCCAGAGACTGCAGCAGAACAAACCTCTGGACATCATGAACTGGGTGTGCCGCATGAGGGCCCAGCGAGGATCGATGGTCCAGACATCAGTAGGTCCCTCCTCCTTTCCCTTGCTCTCTACTTACCCACTTTCTCTTTTTGCACTAACAGTGGCAGTACATGTTCATCTACAAAGCCCTGGCCCATGCTGCTGGTGCAGTAAGGAACAGTGAAGAGGCCACTGGGAGGGAGGAGGAGGAGGAGGAGGGGAGTGGTGGTGAGGAGGGTGGGGGGAAAAGGTGTTGAAGAAAACCAAAAGACACCTTCACAGACTCATCAGGTATGCTAGTGCCAGATCTAAATGTTTTCCTTTGGGGATTTGTATGCAGGTCGATTGGGAAGAGGATGATGGACTGATGTCTCTTCCTTCTTTCTCAAGTGATGATTTTATTGACATGCACGTTGTGTAGTAGCTAGTTGTATAGGAGTCGGTATGTAGATTTTTACTTCGCGGAAGAGGTCTCTTTCACGCATGCGCAAAACCCCCGCGCTGCGCACGCGCGTGTAAAGAACCCAAGTAGGCAGGTGCTGTGCGTTCTTTGCTCATCTCTCCGCCTGGCTCTCGTACTTCGGAGGAGGTACTGTGTATGAAAGGAGAGCTATCGCCGGACTGAACAAGATCGAGTTCCTGTGACTGATCACTCGTGTACCGTGGAAGGGGATGATGGCGCGCGGGTGTTACTTGTTGGCCGTGTGCATGTTGGCTGCACTGCTCGCTAGGGCTGCCAGCGTTGGCTCAGGAGGAGGAGGTGAGAGACTCAACTAGCAGCACGATATGACTCCCGTCACAGCTAGCACGATACGACTCGCCGCACGGTGAACTGGAGAAGTGCCGGGGATCTTTGGCCTGTACATGTGTGAATGCGTGCCCGTATTAAAAATATTTGTAGCTGTGTTGGGACTAGTGGATGCTGCGGGAGATTAACGCACACGTGTGTAATGTCTCTGAGCTCTGCACATGCCGTATCCATCCATGACCGTAGCACAGGTAGCAGGGGCCTGGGAACCAGAGGTTCTTTGGGGAAAGTTGTGTGTAGTGTCTTTGTAGGTATAACACATCCTCTTTCAGTGTGAGTGGAGTCTGCTGTGGTAGTACTTCCTGTGGCTAGCCCACTCTCTTGTGACATCACCACTCTACCCACTCTCTGATTGGTCGATGATTACCTTATCACAGTAGGAAACCATTATCTGCAACTCAGAAGTTTTTAGTTGCAGCTATTGTAAATCGTAAATTGAAAATGTTATCGCCACCCTTTCTGCGTAAACCACAGCCTCTGACTGGTACATTAGCAATCCACGTGTATAATTCCTGTGTTGTACTGTTCACGGGTATGCAGAGAATGCACAAACCTGGTCTCTTGTGCAAGAAACATGCCAGCTATTATCTCTGTACATATGAGCTTCTGTGCTGAGCTACACTGTTTTGCCTGCTCAATTAGACTTCATTTTCTCCTTCTTTTCTGGTCCAAACCCTCTCAATGGAGGTGACACTCTTTGTGTGCTTCAATGGCTGTAGGTCTCACAATGAGCCCCCGCCACAAATGTACACAGTCTGTTGATGTATGTACTAGGAGAATATGGAGAGAGATTATAGGCCATCACCAGCTCTTGACTAGGAGACCGGTACAGTAGGAGTTCACAATACATACCTATGCCTGTAATGCAAGCTGTGTTGTATAGCTACTATTCTTAGTTAGGAGTGAGGTGTGTTAGTGGAATACACATACACACTGAAAGTTGTTGGTGGGAAGAGAGGAGGTTTAAGTACACACACTGGGTGTGTGTGTGTGTGTGTGCAGTTTCCTGCCCCTGACCTGGTGGAATGTATATATATACACTGGTGCTCCACAAACAATGTAGGTGGCTAGTGGTGAGCCCGCTGCCATATGTTGTCTGTGTTCTTTGGGTGCACGGCATTTATTGGCACTTAGCCCCTGGCCCTAACTCTGGGGTCTAGACCCACAGTTAGCTCAGGGGCACCCCCCTCTCCTACCCCCATAGGGTTTCCTGGCTTTTAACTCCATGTTACTCACTTTGCTCTCTACTTTACCCCATTACCTTATATGTGTATGTCAGTGAATGGGTGTAAGTATATGCACCAGATGGTTGTGTTACAATCACAGAAGACAAGACTTCTGTTTTTTTACACTGATTACATATGTAGCACTAATGCTGGTTCCAGTCTGATGGCCTCATTCTCATATTACTCTCCTGCGATATTATTCAGGCTCTGGCTCGTACCGTTCCATCCTTTTTGCAATTCTGTTAATGGCTGGAAGAGTTTGGAAATGTTAGCAGTACGCAGATAGTGGACGCAGTACATCCTATGTAGTATGCCATAGTAACTTCATTGGCCTGTGATAAAAGTGTGTGTTAACCAATTCTACCAGTAGAGCACACAGTTTTGACACAGTAGTTTTGTGGGCAACATAGTATTGTGGCAGTTGGGATCATAGTACATTGTGGTTGTGTAGTAGCTGACCAAGGAGACAGAGTGTGGGTTCACCCATCCATCACTCAGATAACATGCAGAGTTTGTGGTCTAGACTGCCGCCTATCTCTCTCTCTCTACCTCCATTAATTGAATCCCTCTCCTGCAGCTTGTGTTGTCAGTTTTGATCAATCCTCCTACACTGTGGATGAAGGAAATATGTTGGAAGTGATGGTGACAGTAGATCTAATGTGCTCCATAGAAGATTTCACAGTCAATATCTCATCCATCGATGGCACAGCAGGTATAGCAATAGTTGATGATTTATTTGGCTCACTGAAGACCCTATATTCCTGCAGTGGGTGGAAGTGATTTCGTACCAGTGGCCCAGATGCTAACATTCACCAATTCCACTCGTGAGATTCCAGTTTCAGTTGAAATCCTCAATGACACGGTGGTGGAAGATCAGGAGGTTTTCATGCTTGCTCTTGTTACCAATGACGACAATGTTACGCTGCCAGACAGCCCAGTCGAGGTCTCCATCACTGACAATAGCTCTGGTATATATAATTGTTGAGGGTATAGAGAGGTTAAAGGGAGAATGTGTTAGTACAAACGGCCCTAGATGTTACTAAAGATGGAACCAAAACAGTAGGGCTCAGTGCAAGGTTTCCGTTTTTAGTAACATTTTCTAAATTTTACTGCCACGTTACCTTCAACCTTCATTTCTTTCCTGCCAGTGACTGTTGGATTTAACAAAATGGGATATGTGGTGCCAGAGGGAGAATCTGTGGATGTTGTATTGAATGTGAATGGAGGAGGTACTCTGGAGAGAAATATCATGGTTCAATTGACTGTTGATGGTGGGGCAACTGAAGGTAAGTATCATCCTTTTCTCTTCCCATGGCTAATGAAATCATCCTGCCAGGGGCTGACTATACTGCGCTGCCTGCTAGTGTGATGTTGACTGCTGGTACTACAAGCAGTACTGTGACGTTCACAGCCGCTAATGACACTCTGGTGGAGGAGGAAGAAATTGTTCAGTTGACACTTGAGTCGTCAGACAGCGCTGTGACGGTTGGACCTAGCTCAAGTGTGACTATCACAGACACCACTAGTGAGCTATCACTGAAGATACTTACATAATATCTATTCCCCCTCTCCCTCTTCCCTCTCCCCTCTCCCTCTCTCACATCAGTTGCCACTATCAGCTTCTCTGAGCTCATGTACAGTGTGGTGGAAGGAAATAATCTCACCTTTGAGGTCGTATTTGAGTCTCCAGTGACTCTAGCCAGAGAGGTGGAAGTGACTGTCACACTAATAGAAGGAACTGCCATGGGTATGTTTATACTGGAGATAGGGAGATTAAAGATATTTATCTATTCCTACCCAGCCCCTGGTGACTATAATATGCTGGGACCAATGATGCTGACACTGACTAGCACTGGTGGTACTGCAATGGTTAATATTGTGGATGATGCATTGCTTGAGGCTGACGAAATGTTTGAAATGATGCTGGATTCAACTGATCCCGCCGTGTCATTTGCCGTGGACACAGCAACTGTCACCATTATAAGCCCTGGTGAGCTTTCCCCCTGTATACAGTCCTTTTTCCGATATTTGTGGGTAGAGGGAAAAAACACAATACAAAATTTCTTTTCAGGTATTTGAAGAGGACCAAACAAGACGAATAACTACTTTCTAGGGGCATATGTGTACTTTTAGAGTGAGCTAGGTTCGAATTGACCAATCAGATTGCAAAGCCGAGGTTTACTATTTCCCGTAGTAAACCTCGACGGGGTTTACTATATAGTAAACCTACAGAAACTACAAAACCTACAGATAAAACAGGAAAACATAACAAAATGTACATGTAAACAACAAGATCAACAACTGAATCTACATTGACGCGTCGTCCACGCGCATGCGCAGACCCCCCTGCGCGCAGACCGTCGAGCACAACCAGAAAAAGAAGGCGGAGTCGCTACCGCGGCCACTTCGCTACCTCTTCTTGCACTGCATTTTCTGGCGCTCTCAGCCTGTCTTCATCGAGTTATCGTTAGAAGCGCTCCACCATACGAACGAACAGGAAAGCCAGAGCGCTCAACGTGAAGCACTCACTCTAAAATAGTTAGACGCTGATTCCTCGGGTAACCACGCGCCGGTAGAAAGCCTCGTGCCCCGGGGGTAGCGCCCTCGCTGCGCTCGGGGCGCCACAATGCCGGTCTCTCGGCTTTCTACTGCGCGTAGTTACCTCGAATCAGCGTCTAACTATTATTTAGAGGGTGTTATACTGACATTTCAAATGGTGCCCAGAACCTTGTATGACGTTACTCTCCTTTCCTCTTTAGTCCTGGTGTTTCAGTTCAACCAGTCTGCCTACACTGTGGATGAAGGAGACTCAGTACCAGTAATGGTGACGTGGGTCAATCCACAGATGGGAGAGGTGGAAGTGAGAGTTACTGTGACCCCCAGTGGCACCCCCCAGGACTACTCCATTAGTCCAGAGGGGAACATTACACTCAACATGCCTCAAATACGGGTGTAGTGGTCATTACTGCACTGAGTGATAAGCTGAAGGAAGACCCGCAAGATGAGGATTTCATTCTATCTCTGGAATCTAAATTCAGACTGAGCGTCTCTCAAGCCGCTCTCACTATCAGTGACACTAGTGAGTCATGTGACAGACTCCCATACTCTGTTATTTACATGTCTTCTTGATCCAGCTGTCACTCTGAATGTGGTGGGGGATAGTGAAGTGACGGAGGGAGAGAGCATAACTCTGAATATTACAGCTGTCGGTCCGTTTGTTGAGAATTTCATGGTGAATATACAGGCTGATCCAGGTGAGTGCCCCATGTCTGTAGTACAGTTCCTGACGGCCTCTTTACCCACTGCTCTGCAGCGAACGAGGTCATGATTAGTCCAACGTATGTCGACTTCACTTCTACCACTACTCAAGTCAGTGTCACTATTGGAGGGATACTGGACGGAGAGCCTGAGCTGACTGAGACGGTCACTATTAGTTTCACCACCGCGTCTGCTAATGTTGAAGATTTTGACTATACTATTACAGTCATAGACGCGACTGGTGAGGGACCCACTGTATTGTGTGTGTGTGTGTGTATGCCCTCTGTTGACATGTGTACTGTACGTTTGTTTCCAAGCAACTACATACTGTAGGTGTCTTCAGAATTATTTCAGGGGGGGGAGAGAAAATTGGTTTTTGGAGAAGTATGAGTTATATGGTCTCTTCTCTCCCCTAGTGATCCATACCGATGGTCCTCAGTCTCAGGGAGTGGAGGTGAACGATTCAGTTACGCTCACATGTCGGTTCGAAGCTGGGAACCCGGAGGAGATAGTGTGGATGAAGGATGGGGTCCCACTCAGTGAAGGTGGATCTAATGTTGATGAAGTGGGGTTTGGCTACAGGAGCACTCTCATCATTGCTCGTGTGGATTTTTCCAACTGTGGCAACTATACCTGCTCCATGGGAGATGTGATTTCCCCACCTGCAGAGCTTGGAGTCTACCGTGAGTTTAGTCTGTCAGTTCTCTCTTCTTACCTCATCACTCTCCCTACCTGTCTCCCTCCCTGCCTCCTTTCCTCCACTCCCTCCCTCCAGAGCTGGCCAGCACCTCAGACCAGAACCCAACGTCATCCATTGGAGCAGTTGGTGTCATAAGCTGCTCCATTATCAGCTGTGGCCAGGTCTCAATAGTATTTGACATCGACAATGACATTGCCACCCAAATCTCTCTCAATACCACCACTGCCGATGTGGATGAGACTCTGGGCACTGTTGAGACTACCAGAGAGGCAACTATAACGACACTGGGTCGTGTCAACGAGGGAATGTCGCAATCCTGCAACGTGACCCACAGTGGAGTGGTCCTTCGCGAGGAGGTGTTCAACTACACTCTGGAGAGTGAGTGACCTTTAGTTCACCTCTTGGTCGCAGTGGAGGTGCTGGGGAGAGGTTTGCAGGGAACCCCACTGCTCCACCCACGTTGGTCTATTAGGCCACGCCCAGCAAGCTAGCCACCACCGAGATCCGTTGTTTGAATATTTCTAGAAATGCAACAAGTTTACTTTCAGTTGTAGTGTTGCCCCTGGGCTGTTTTAGGCCCCACTACATCTAGAAGTCTGGTCCTATGAGTACACACATTTCATACTGAAACTACTTCTTCCCTTTGTGTCTATGTTTCGTTTGTTTTACAGATGTTGTCATCAATGTCGACGTGCGGGCAGAGAATCTAACTCTACCCAACAGAACTGGCGGCGATTCATTCGTGGTGGGGGATGACGTCGTACTGAACTGCAGTGCAACCAACCCTCCCGGTGTAGATCGAGACCTCACCATACGATGGTTCAGACTTGGCACAGAGCAGAATGAGGAGGGGATCTATATTATGCCTGATAGTCCCCCCGCGAACACGAGGGTCGAGACTGGAGATGGCTACGTGGCACTCATACTTCCTGACATAAAGGACGATTCAGATGAAGAAACTGTATACATCTGCAAGGCCTACAACAGACTGCCCAGTGACCAAGTCGAAGAAGCTGTCAATGTGACTGTCATCTGTAAGTCTTGTGTGTTCCTAATCTGCAGTTGGTATAACTGAGGAAGAGAGGGAGAGGGGGGAAATGATTAGACCACTACTAATTTTGGTACAGCTCTCAGTGGCTGGTACAGTTCTCTTGCTTGTAGACCACCAGACTACATTTTTTGATGTTCAAATTTTCATTCAAGTTTAAATTCTGCAAATATTTGCCCGCCAGGTCCGATTTTATTGTGTGTATGTGCAGAAGAGATGCCCCTGTACGTAGTTACTGTATTATGTTATTAATTCCCCAGCTGGTCCAGTGGTGCGATTCCCACGTTGTGACAGTCAATGTCGGAGAGAACCGAACTTTGGAGTGCAATACTGCTGGCTCTAACCCTATGGCTACTAACATCACTATCACTGTCAGAAGGCCAGGGGAAGACAATGTAACAGTCGGTACTATGGCTGGTGCAACGAGACTGGGAGTTTTCTATTACTGGAAACCTCAGCCAGAACGGGTCGGTGTATACTTGCACAGCTGTTAATGAGATCGGACCGACGTCAATGTCATTTACATTGGTAGTGAGAGGTGAGTTAATCCCAACTCACGAGTTTTCAGTCTTTCAGTCTATTGTCCCTCTCTCTCCCTCCCTCTTCCTTCCTCAGATGTACCAGGCGAGGTAGACAGCACAAAAATAGCTTCTGTTCCTCTCACTCTCCTGTGTCGAACGTCACGTGGCCCGCCCCTATCTCAAACAATGCCGAGATCACTAACTACACTGTCACAGTCTGCAGTACTGCAACAGACGACTGTGTCAGTTACACCACTCCACAGCCCCATGCCGCAGTGCTCACAGTTCCCACGGTCACCTATAACGTTTCTGTCAATGCTACCAATGTTGTGGGATCCAGCAATTCAGATACAACTACTATTGTGGGGACCAATCAAGGTTAGGGTTTTTAAAATGGTGTCCAGGTTACATCTCTATTTTCCCCCTTCCCAAACCTCCCCCTCCCCCTCCCCTCCCCTCTCTCTCAATCTTTCTCCTCCCCCTCCTCCCCCCTCTCTCTCAATCTTTCTCCTCCCCCCTCCCTCCTCTCCCTCTCTTCCCCCGTCCCTCTCCCTCTTGAACTCAGGAGCCGCGGCAACTGTTACGGGATTTGCCCTCTCCCCGGCATTTCTCATCTTGGAGTGGACCCTCTCTTCTCTCGTCTCTAACGTGACTGACCCCCCAAATAATGACCTCCCTGCTGAGAGCGTCTTCTTCGTGGACCAATTTGTCATTCGTTTCGAGGGTGATGTCGTAGCGAGAGTTGCAGAGAGGAGCTATCTCTTTAGCATCCCCAATGACGAGATCAATCCTGGCGACGAAATTGACACGATGTTACCGTTTGAGGTGGAGGTCGTCTATTCAGATATAAATATTAACACAACTCTCAATACGACGTCATTCATCAGTGTGGCAGTCCCTAATGGTGCGTGGCAATGGGATGCATTATTCACTGTCCTTGGGTCCTTGGGTCTGTCTCGAGCATTTTGTTGCATAATCTTTGATAATGGAAAGGTTACAGGGTAAAAGTCTGAGTGATATTAAACATATTTGTGCCAAATGTCAATCAACATCTTGGATTCTATAAATGTTCTCCTTTCTGTGCTGTCTGTGCAATATTGATATTTGTATTATATGTAGTTGGTTTAATGTTACTGCAATATGTATGTTGATTTGCAGTGGAAGAGGTTGCTGAGATAAACAGAAGACCACTCCAGACACCTGTTACTACCAGTGGAGGATTCAGTTTCCAATGGGCACCTCCAGCCCAAGTTGATAACCCAGAGTTCATCGAGGTATACAACGTCGTGATAGACCAGCTCCCTCAACAAGGCGGAAGAGGAAAAAGACAGGCGGCTACAAACGTAGTGAACGTAAACCAAACTGGGACAGAATTTGAGTTCATGGCTGGACAGCCGTTCACTGACTACAGCGTGAGGGTGGATGCTGTGCTGAACGTTAACGGAGACACTACGAGGGTCACTGCACTGTCCCCCAACACCATCATGACTGAAGAAGGAAGTACGTGGGTTTGAGTTTCCATCCTCTAACCCTTGTACCTCCTCCTCCTCCTCCTCCTCCTCCCCCTCCTCCTCCTCCTCTTCCTCCTCCTCCTCCTCGTTTTTTAGTGGCGAGTGCTCCACAGAATCCTGTTGTCACTGAAATTGGGGTAACTACTGTTAGGGTGGGGTGGAGAGCTCCAGTCAACCCTAATGGGATCATCTCAGGATATCGGGTGAGAGGAAGTTCACAATTTGTAGCAGAAGTACTAGCATTGCGATGCATGTGGCATGATACGCAGTGTGTCAGTAGAATCTATGTCAATCTTTGGGGTGCATGTGGCATGATACGCAGTGTGTCAGTAGAATCTATGTCAATCTTTGGGGTGCATGTGGCATGATACGCAGTGTGTCAGTAGAATCTATGTCAATCTTTGGGGTGCATGTGGCATGATATGCAGTGTGTCAGTAGAATCTATGTCAATCTTTGGGGTGCATGTGGCATGATACGCAGTGTGTCAGTAGAATCTATGTCAATCTTTGGGGTGCATGTGGCATGATACGCAGTGTGTCAGTAGAATCTATGTCAATCTTTTGGGTGCATGTGGCATGATACGCAGTGTGTCAGTAGGGTCGATGACAATTCTTGGGGTGCATGTGGGCATGAGATATCCAGTGTGCAGTAGAATCTATGTCAATCTTTGGGGTGCATGTGGCATGATACGCAGTGTTGTCAGTAGAATCTATGTCAATTTTGGGGTGCATGTGGCATGATACGCAGTGTGTCAGTAGAATCTATGTCAATCTTTGGGGTGCATGTGGCATGATATACAGTGTGTCAGTAGAATCTATGTCAATCTTTGGGGTGCTTCGAAGCAATGCGACAATCATATTATGAACTGTAAAACAGGCTGAGGTGCAGTTTACTAGTAGTTGACCTGAAAAATGCTCTGTCGAATTCAGGTAAGAGTTCAGTTGAAGGACTTTAGCGGTACAGCGATGCAAGAAACGCCAGATGGGTCCTCAACGTCCCTGGTGATCACAGGACTACGAGGTTTCACAGACTACATGGCTATAGTGTGGGCAGTAAATGGAGCTGGGGTTGGGGAAGAGTCTAGGCCAGTTTCGTTCAGGACAGACTTCGGGGTGGTGCCACCGACAATCAGCAATGTTGTCGCTAACATCAACCAGCAGCAGTACACCTTCACTATCAACCCCTTCAGTGATCAATATGGTCCACTCAGGTATGTTTATGTAATAGTCCATAAGTAATGATACTAGTCCTGATATCTACTAAATGTAGTCCTTTTGAAATCTATGTAGATTAGTAGTTCACTTGTGTTTCTGTGTGTGTGGCTGTGTGGAATGGGTTTACTCAGCCTGTGTTACAGTTCCACTCTCATACGTACAATAAAACTGCCAGTGATTTTTGTATACCTCCTGCCACAGCCACTATGAGGTGTATGCAGTCATCACTGACCAGCCTCCTGACACGTCAGTCATACTCTCGGAGCAAACCAACACCTCATACGTTACCTTTGCTGGACGGGCTAGCACGGGTCTGTCGCAGCAGATCAGGGTAGGCACTGGCGTCCCTGGAGACGTGACTCTAGACAACGGCCAGCAAGTGAACTATGACAACCGGGATGTCAGACTTGGAGCCAACTATTACTTCTTTGTTCGACTCTACAGCAGTCAAGTAGGTGCCAGTACATGTGTAATACATGGACTTTCACTAACTGTATATATGTCGTTCTTATCCAGGATAGAACAAGATTTAATGATAGCGAACCTGTCACTGTCACTGTCCCACCTCCAGTTGGTGAGCAACGCAGTGTCTTAAATTATTCATAGTGTACACGCAGAGCACGGTGAAAGAGGGTTTTAACTAGCACAATGTACTATAATATTGTAGTAGAGTGGTGACGCTCTGAACACCATACCAGAGGGAGGGGCAGCATCTGTATTAGTGAGGCCCTAGGGATTTACTTAAACAAAGATATCTAAGATATCTTTGTTGGAGAGGTGATCTTAATTCGGGTGTTTCTCTTGATAAACGTCCCACTATGTGTTCATCTTTCCCCCTTGATTCTCTCCATTATTAACCCTCAGCGGCGCGCATGCGCAGCGGGGGTTACAGTACTTGGTTTGTCCGTATGTCTGTCCGTCTGTTACCACGTTTTCTGCCACCACGCGCAACAAACAGGTAAAATAGTGACACCAACGGGTTCAGTGCTACACTGGCTTCATTTTTAGGTTATGGCATGAAAACCAAGTGAACAAGCCAATATGCAAATTAGCACAGGCTTACCTCGACTGGGTCTGCTTGCTCTGTGTACCTTGGAGGCACAAGAAGTCAAAACGAAGGGCGTATATCGACTCCCGCATGCTATCTACTACTGTAGCTAGCCCAGACTCTCTGCGAGCTACTCCAGTGAGTAAACGCATACTACAAATAGCCCAGCCCATCAATTAGCGGTACCGCGCATGCGCAGTTCGCCGAGGGTTTGCACTTTAGTGCATTATTGCCACCAGTGGAGAAAACTATGGGAGTGCTCTCATGGCGGTAATGATAGTTTCACATTTCCAGTGATTGATGCTAACCAGGCAGAGAGAATGTGACAACACATCTGCCATTATTGGTGGAGTAGTGGCTGTGGCTGTTGCCTTTATGATCATAACTTCACTAACAATCATATTGGTAGTGAACAATATGGGCAATAAAGTTGATCATGTAATCCACTCAATATTGGCAGTGGTTAAAGTGTCATTACAGCCAAAGGTTGGCAGGTCAAAACTAAGCTTGATTTCCTCAATACTACAAATAGAAAGTTATATTTCAGGTTCTACTTCCCACTAACTAACTCATGCACTTTGTTTCATCTAAATTCTAAATGCAATCCCCTATTCCATGCAGTCCCAGCTCCAGGACAGGTGTTTGTGTCAGTGAGCTCCATAACAGCCACCTCCATCTCCCTCTCCTGGAGTGTGTCCAGTGGGAGGGTGGCCAGTTGGGAGGTGGTCTGGAGACCCACTGACAGAGGCACTGAGAGCACCAGTGGTCCTCTGTCTGGCACTACCTACACCATCCACCAGTTGGACCCCTCCACTAACTACACACTCACTGTATCAGCCACTAATGTAGCTGGAACCACTGACAGCACTCCCATACTTTTCTCTACTGGTGGTAAATGAGAGTTTGCTTCATTGTTAACCTTGTATAACTCTTTTTGTTTGTTCCAGCCACTGATGTTTGCCAGGCAGAGAGTTCAAGTGCAGATAACACTTCAGCCATTATTGGTGGAGTAGTGGCTGTGGCTGTGGTTCTTATAATCGCTACTTCACTGACAGTCATAGTGGTAGTGATTCTAGTGCTGAGAAACCGCAGTGGAAATTACTCTGCAAAAACAAGGCACGACCATACACTCTTACGAAAGTAATATATCATTGGATTTGATACAGAGCTACAGTTGGAGCTACAAATCAATCAGTGGAGCTCTCCAAGTTCTCAGAGGCAACATATGCGTAAGTCTCCCCATATTGTGAGATGATTTCTATACCACTGATGGCCTCACTCCAGAGATCCAGACCAGCTCCAGACCACCAGTAATGAGGCCTACAATGTAGTGAGAGGGACTGGAAGGACAGCTGAAGATGATTATGAAGTACCACAAAACCTTCCTCCCCCCACAACCTCTCAGCCCACCACTACTACTGCTGGAGACTATGAACCTGTGTGACAATGACATGGCTACCGGCCCCAGCTTGGTTTAATGTCAATCAATCAATCATTGCACGGACCCACTAGGGCATGGCAGGTACATACATACATATACAAGACAGACAAAAACGTGTAGGGAGCGAAATCTAGCTGTACAATACAGAACTAGCACTGTCCCCAGTCGATGTGTTGTAGAATTCACTGTGCACCATCATTGGTGGTAGTTGAAGTCGCATAAGACAGAATGTGGACGGACACTTTATTAGAGGCACGAGTGACCACACCCACTCCCACCACCACTCCACGGCAGATCATGAGCCACAGAATACCAGCTGTTGGCAATCAGCCCCAAAGAGGCTACCCTTCTCACCATGGGAGTAGAATAAGTACGACCCAGAGCCTCAGTCGATGTCGTTTGTACACACAAACATTGACTAAACACCAAAACGCTTTGGTATTGACCAGAGCCGAGTAGAGCGTTTAGAACGCCATGAGAGACCGACGTCCAACCATTAACTCACCTCACCGATAAGACAACCTGGCCCTCACCCAACCCCCTTCATCCCTTAGCATGAAGGCCTAAGCCCTCATTAGGGATGCTGGCCAAAGGACTGGGCTCTGCTGCTCGAGAGGGGCGTGGCAAAGGGATTTCCCTCTTACTGGAGGTGGAGTCATTTCATTTCCGGCTCCACCCCTGCCCAAACCCAGTCCTGATCACACCCCCGAAGGGATGGAGAGAAAAAGAAAGAAAAAACGAGCACGCCAGAGAGGAGCTTCCGACGAGCGAGCAAACTAGCAAACTGCCCCGACCACGTGCCCTTTCGCCAAGGCGCATGCGCGCATCGCGGCCAGCTCGGTTAACCAACGTACGTACGTACGTACGTACACGTACGTTAAACGTGTAGTCCGCGTATAAAAAGGGGCGTGCTAGGCAAAAATCGATTAACTTTAGCGCACACCGTGACAAAATGGCGGTGTTCAAACTACTGTCTCTTCACTTCCTGAAGGCCCACGTTTGACTCTCCAGCTAACGTTTGGCAACACTGACACAATGGCAGCGTTCAAGGAGCGAATGGAAGCTCTAAAGTCCGCTCTCGCTCCTGCGGGAGCACCTCCATTGAAGCCGGTCGAGCTAATGGCGAAGCTCTTTGACATAGCTGATATTAATTATCTTGTTCTTTCCATCAGCAGAGTCCTGAGGAACTAGCCCTAGCCCTCAGCAGAGTCCTGAGGAACAGGAGGAAGACTGAGCCATACAGCCAGCTTGCACGCACTTCACTATACGTATTATATACACGTGTCACGCGCGTGCGCACATTTTATTACCAATCCGTGTTACGCACCGCAGCTATGTTGTTCCAGCGTTGCGCTAGCGGTACAAACGAAGGCTCCACACACTTGCCTTCTGGTACGTTTTTGAATTTTATCGCCGCCATGTTTGTGCCAGGCACCGCCCCTTTTATACGCATGCGCACGGAAGCGACTCCGCCTCTGCAATTGCGCGAGCTAGCTAGCTAGCTAGCTAAGCTAGGTGAGCGCGCAAGAAGCGCTTAGACCGCAGTCACGCGCAATTGACCAATCAGATTACAGAATTGCGGGGGGTTTATTTTTCATAGACACCTCGTTTCAGGTGTCTATGGCGTTTGCAGGTGGTCTACAGCAATCTCCCCGTACAAAATGGCTATTCTCAAAAGTCGTTATCTGCGCAAACTGGCCGATTCCGCGTTCGGTATATGTAAGCGTAGAAGGCGCGACTGGCAAAGTAGCTCTTTTAAAATGCGTAGTGCACCTGCAAGAAGTCTGTGGACAGTCTCCGGAGCTCGCGAAAGTCGGAAATCACGTCAATATTCCACGAAAAAAGCGTCGGCTTCTTCAGCTCTGGCGATACACAAACACATTGGGCCCTTGCCGTGCGTTGCTAAACCCTTTCAAACGCGCACCACCAATGAGGGCGTTTTATGATGACGTAAACGATTTTTTACGGGGGGCGGGGGCTGTCTCCTCGGAGTCTCACACGAAAGCGTCTTGTTCCATCCGAAGGTAAGGAATGAGGAATGAGCGCAGCGTTGCTAGCTTGTTGCTACCCATTTGAACGCGCAAACACCAATCAGATACTCCGGTCTAAACCGGTTAGACGCAGAAGCTCGGTTGTCTACGCAACATTGCAACCCTCGTGGCATGTGGGCTTCTTCAGTTGGAGCTACAAATCAATCAGTGGCTATGTAAGCGTAGAAGGCGCGACTGGCAAAGTAGCTCTTTTAAAATGCGTCTCGCGGCATGTGGGTAGCGCCCTCGCTACGCTCGGGACGCCAACATTCCACAGCCCCTCGGGTTGCAATGTAGCGTAGACACCTCGCTTCCGCGTCTAACCTATATTTAGCAGATATTTTATCCGTGGACTACACGTCATTTATTTGACAAGAGCTCATTAATTGCGGCACCCACCGAACTTAGCCCCGCCCCTAAATCACATGCTGCAACAAAAAAAGGTGGGGCTTCTCTCTCCAACACGTACATTATACGTACCTAGCTAGCTCGCCTCTTCTCTTCTCCACTCACTGACAGATCTAAAATGTCTACTGTTCCGCAAGACCCCGAGAACGAAACGGAGAACCAGCGACTCATCACCGAAGAAGCTTCGATCCGCGTCTGTCGACGTCGCTGGACTCGCCACCTCGGAGCCGTGGGTCGCTGGACTCGATCAAACCTTCTCCTGGTCGCCACCTTCCTCTCAGTGGTTGTGGGGATTATTCTGGGTCTCTCCATCCACCAGGCGGACCCAGGGCGAGCCTGGATAGCCGTCCTCTCTCTCCCGGGAGAGCTGTTTCTCCGCATGCTCAAGATGCTCATTCTCCCGCTCATCATCTTCAGTCTAATGGCCGGGCTGGGCTCGCTAGACACGAAGGTAGCTGGGAGTCTGGGCTGGCGTACGGTGGCCTATTACCTCACTACGACTGTGGTAGCGGCAGTGCTTGGACTGGTCTTGGTGATGATCATAAGACCTGGCGAGAGATGGAGGGTCGAGAAACCGTGCGACAACTCTAGCCTCTCCGTTGGAGGAAACAATCTCGAGACTCTTGACTCAGTTCTCGACCTTCTGAGGTTAACAATCTGTACATATTGGAGTTTTGCATAGACAGCGGCCTGTGGGGGGCCGATGCCTGCAAAAGATTTGATGAGGCTTCATGGCTTGGTGACTGTTTGCAGTGATTACTTAATTGCCTATAATATACTAAACCACAACTTAATGCTAAGGAGCCTCATGTTTACCCATTTACCTTCTAGACCCAGGGGTGACAGATCCATTGTATGTCATCCTCAAACGGCGGAACTAAAACCTTCACCATTCCTTTTCCGCCCAGGAACCTGTTCCCTGACAACCTGATAGTGGCCATGTTTAAACAGACGCAGACTGTCTACACCGAGGAGACGGTCACCTCCTGGAGCAAATGCCTCTCACTGAACAACGAGACCTTCACCAACTGTTCAGCTGCAGTGGAGACTGTCGAATCTCTGGATCTCGACTGCAGTAATGCCACCAGGACGGAGCGTCGAGTGGAGCTGGGGACTAGGGAAGGAACAAACGTGCTCGGGATCATTGTGTTCACGGTGGCGTTCTCCATGTTCCTCTCGCGGCAGGGAGAGAGGGGCAGACCCGTCGTGGAGGCAATTGCAACACTCAACGAGGTCATCATGTCAATTGTCAGACTCGTCATGTGGTGAGTGGGCCTCTCTCATTACACCATTATACATTGTACTATTGGTGCCATGATTATATTATATTAAAGGGGCGGAATTGTCACAGATATGTCTAACAATGTGTGAAATTGAAACCTTCTGATTCGTGACAAATAATTGCACTTGCAAAATCACTAGTTTCTAACTCAGTAGTTTTCGTTTTTCTTCATTGCAGGTTTTCGCCCGTTGGAATTGCCTCCATAATCATGGGTGAATTACTGAAAGTGGAAGATTTCGTGGGTCTGGTTCAGCAGATTGGACTCTATATGGTCACCGTTCTGCTGGGGCTGTTCATACACGGCTGTATCACCTTGCCCCTGTTGTTTCTGGTACTGACGAGGTCGAACCCAATCAAGTTGGTGAGGCACACTGCACAGGCTCTCCTGACTGCTTTCGGGACATCTTCGAGGTTTGTAAATTGTTTTCCTTTCTGTGCTTATTCAAAGGTTCTTTCTCGATATTTACCTCTCCCTATCCTCCTTTGCTCTACTCAAAGCCTTTTCATGGTTGGTATTATGAGTCCTTTCCCCTTTTTCTTTCCGTGTCTTTCCCTCCTCACCCTTCTCCCTCCTCTCCCCCCCTTCTCTCTGTGTCTAGTTCTGCAGCTCTACCAGTCACGATCCAGTGTCTGGAAGAGAAAGCCGGAGTTGACTCGAGAGTCACAAGATTCATGCTCCCGGTTGGAGCTACCATCAACATGGACGGCACAGCTCTCTACGAGGCTGTAGCTGTTGTGTTTATAGCTCAAGTCGAGGGAATAAACATGAATTTTGCCACACTTCTCATTATCTGGTAGGCTATTGGTCACGCCATTGCACAGTCTAACCCCTCCTTACCCAAATAAAGTTTGCCCAAATTATTACGCAACTATTGTTCTTGGAATTCTATTCCATTTCGTAAGGAGAGACCCCAGGAGATGTATGTGTCCACTTTATGTACATGTTGATGCATTCCCTGGGGTGTACATATACCTGACTACATGGGTAATGTTGCATAGCATTCATTGTTCGAGAAGGTGGGCCTAGCAACTTAAACAATGCCATATGAATGTTGTTTGTTGATACAGAGCGTCATGCTGAATATGATATGGCAAAAAATCCTCCAGATAATCTATCTCTCTCTCTTTCTCTCTCCTGCCAGTATCACAGCCATAGCCGCCAGTATAGGAGCAGCAACAGTGCCCAGTGCAGGACTGGTGACAATGGTCATCGTACTAGTGGCTGTGGACCTGCCACCCGAAAACATAGCACTGCTGCTTCCCGTAGACTGGCTCCTGTAAGTTTTAAGACTATGTGTGTATATGCCACCAGCACAGGGTCTGCTGTTGAATCGTCTGAGCCTGCTAGTTGCTGCATATTGTGTATAGCTAGAGAGCAGAGTGGTGCAGGTTCAACCACCACCACCAAGCTCTTCCTGTTTTTCCCGGAAAAGCATTGTTTTGTACTTGTAGTGTTGTCTAGGTGATGTTGATTTGATACAGAAAAAACATATGATAGTTAGGCAGCTGGGCTCCACCACCTCTCTCTGCATGTTCTGTTATACCTCTCCATGTACATCCTTGTATGCTGGTAGTTACGTTATTGTTTGAAGTCTGTACTCAGAAGTGCTGGTCAGGTTGAGTCTTATTTCTACCTTCCACAAGTATACCTTTGAACCTTTGAACTCTCCAAAGGTTATGTTTTAGGCATAAGATTGTGTGTAGTAGGTGCTACTATATATACCTTTGAGCTTTGCTCTTGGATTGGGACCATACTGTGGCACGTCTTCACGCGATGGGTACAGCTAGACCGTAAGCTATCATGAGTATATTACGCTGCCAATAACCCCCCAGCTTATGGAGAGCGTACATGTGACATAATTTTGCATAATCCATACATCGTTAGTGCATGCCATGAGCATTAAAGTTATGTAACTCTTGGCACTTGTCAATTTTGTGTTTTTTCCTGAGGTATGCAACGTTTACGCCTTTTCTCTCCAGAGATCGGTTCAGAACGACAGTGAACGTGGCCGGGGATTGTTTCGGGGCAGGGATCGTCAATCACTATTCAAAGAAGAAACTGGCGTCTGCGGCTCCGAATCACCCTCCTCCTTCCCCTCCCACTCCACGAGCAGACACAAAACTGTCGGGATACACAGGGGCGTCTGGGCCAGCGTTTTCCCAAGTCAGAGGAACAGCGGTTGGGCAAGAAGATGACTGCACGGCCCGCGGCAATAACTTCACAGAGCCTACTGACTCATTACACACGTCCTTCCCTGAACAAGCTAGAGACACACACCTTTAGCCATGGGGACACCTTGAATACCCACATATATTCCGTAATCACATGTCATGTCATACAAGATTGTTTGACGGAATTCGCTCTGCTGATTGTTACGCTCTGCTAAAACCTCAACATGGAATAATGGGAGGACACATGATGGACACATGATGATAATAAAGTAATATCAGTTCTTTTATCGCATGGGTGAGTGTGACGATGGGATATGTTTTTTCTTCGAGTTGTTATGTAGTTCAGCTCTCATTGAACACTTTGTGCAAGGAGCTCATGATGGACTGTATGCGTTTGCAGCACAGCTGTCCTTGTTCGCACACGTCGACGATTGGTTTGGGGTAGTCTGTGCCAATGATGCATCCGGCCTGCTGCTGCACGTAGTGAGGAGCTTTCCACGGGTAGTGGATGTACTCACTCGGATATTTGGCGAGCTCGGGGACATACGACTTTATGAACATGCCGTTCATGTCCATCTTCTTCCCGATAAGGCACGGGTCAAAGCTCTCCACCTGGTTGCAGAAGAACCCGGAGCAAGAGCTCTGCATCCAACACACGGTGGACACCGGGAGCTCAAAATCGAGCATGTACTTGTGGAAGAAGTCTTTGCCCAGAACCCAGGAGATCCAGAGGTAGCCGCGCGTGAGAAACACGGCTATGCTCTGACGGGCCATGAAATGAGCCCAACCGTCCTTGCGACACTGGCGGACGATGGCGTCAATCCAGGGGTAGCCCGTGCGGCCCTCCTGCCAAGAGGAGAGAAACTCCTGGTTGGTGTCCCAAGGGAGCTGGATGCACAGGTGGTTTCCTTCCATGACGTCAAACTTTGGCGTGGTGGAGCCCACAAGGTAGGCAAAGTCGCGAAGGAGAAGGTTCTTGGCCGTTTGTTTAAAGAGTTGCTGGCCACGCGTGGAGACAGAGGCAAACTGCTGGAGCTGGCTGAACACCTGGCGAGCAGAGAGACACCCGAAGCGAAGGTAGGGACTGAGGGCGTCCTTGGACAGGAGCCAGCGAGTCGGGTCGTGCATGGACTCGATGCGAGACATCCCGTAGCGGAAGAGCCGACAGAGCGCCTCTGTCTCTCCGCCGGCCCAGGAGTTGGTGTACAGAGCCTTGCTGGCATCGAAGCCCAGTTCCTGGAGAGTAGGGATGCTCCCGAGCGGTGGTTCGATTTCGCCGCTGGGAGGGAGTGTATTGAGGATGCTGGAGGTCGCCGGGAGGTGGAGCGGTTCTTGTGGCTTACCGATTCTCTGAATGACCTGCCGGAAATGCTTGTAGGTGATCGGGACCTGGCCGTCGTTGGCCGAGATGACCTCCATGGGGTGGTAGAGGGTGTTGCTGAAAAAGGGATTGACGTCTACCTGGTGGTCCTTACCAATCATCTTGACGATGCTGTCGTGGTGCATCGACTCGTAGCTGGTCTGTGAGGCCTGGAAAGTGAGCGCCTTCACGTTCCACTTCTGGAAGATTTGCGGGAGGAGGAGGAGAGGGTGGCCCACCACGACGTTCAGACGTGTGTTGAAGGGAACCTTCTGCAGCTGAAAGTCCAGGTCGTGGAGAGATTCCAGGAGGAACCGCCAGACGTTGACGCTGGGACCACCGCTGTAGTTCCCATTGAACCACGGGTCGATGATAAAAACGGCACGGAACCGCATGCCGTAGGAAACGGCCTTGGTGAAAGCAGGGTTGTCGTGGAGGCGCAGGGCGTCCAGTCGGAACCAGTGCAGAGACGTCGGGGGCTCGCTAGTGCCGGGCGAGAAGACCGCCATTTGGTCGAGGGAGGGACACTGTTGTTGTTGCTGCTGCTGCAGCTCCATCTCCATCTACAGACGTGTGTAGGATATATACAGTGGGTGAAAGTAGCAGGCGGTCTTGCGCACGAGGGTAGGTTCGGTAGCTAAGCGATCGTGTGTGCCAAGTGAGAGAGCCTCTTAGTCAAGACCGGAGGATGAAGAAACGTCACTGACGCTGGGGTGCCGTTTTTATGCACTCGAGACGCCGCGCCAGAAACGTACTCGACGACTCAGCAGCTACATAGCTCAGATCAGCAGCACAGCAACCGCACACAACGTTACACAACTGCGGGACGCGCGCCGCTGGATCCGGCCGCATAGGAAAAGCTGCTGACTTGGCTGTGTAGCCAAAAAATAGGGAGACGACAAAATGCAGAAAGAAAAGGGAAGAAAAGTGTTTGTGGTGGGCGTTGGGATGACCAAGGTATATTCCTAACTCTGCTCTGTCATCTGGTCGTTGGTGTGATTTCTATTCATGACACACAGTTTGAGAAGCCGGGACGCCGAGAAGACTTTGACTATCCCCAAATGGCCAAGGAGTCAGGTTTTTCCCATGAGCTCTGCTGCCAAAATCAAGCTCCCTAATACACCTCCCTCTCTTCCGTCTCCTCTCTGTCTTCCTGTGCTCTTTCTGTGGCCTCGCTCTTCCTCCATCTCTCCTCACTCTCTTGTTCTGGCCCTCAGCTGAGAATGCACTGAGAGATGCAGGTTGAGCTACTCGGCCATTCAGCAGGCAGTTATTGGATATGTTTACGGTACAACACATGTCCAGTGTTTGTATGTACAAACAGCAACACATGCGCCCAAAACACAGGGGACAGCACATGTGGGCAGAGAGCTGCCTATCTTCTTGGAATGACAGGGATACCCATTTATAATGTCAGCAGCAACCCAACACACACAATCACACACACACTCTCTCTCTTCTTCTCCCTCTCCCCTCCTCCCCGTTTATCTCCGCTGACAGGTCAACAATGCTTGCTCCACGGGGTCCTCGGCTTTGCTACTGGCCAAACAGCTGGTGGAGGGAGGCTCAGCCGACTGTGTCATGGCTCTGGGCTTTGAGAAAATGGAGAGGGGTTCACTAATGCCCAAGGTGTAATATGATCAGTTTCCACAAGCATGTTCGCATTTCACAACAACAGCTGAATCTCTGCTTAGTTTTAGAGTGTGACTCGGTAATACTGACAGATATCATTCAGACATAGTGACTATATACGAGTGTATGCACATGGCTGGCAGTGCCACGCATGTGAATAAAGTAGAAAGGGAAAGGGCCTCACTTGTGTACAAAACACTTGTAAGCTGTGTAATTCACCTCCAATGTAGCCTAGCCCCGCCCCCCTCTAAATGCTACATTTCGTATACAAGTCACAGTCACATGATGTGTTGATCAGTACACAGACCGCACCAGTCCAATGGACAGACACGTGGATGTTCTTGCCAACACTCACGGCATTGCAGCTGCCCCCATCACACCCCAGATGTTTGCCAGCGCTGGAAAAGAGCATATGCAGAAATATGGTGAGCCTTGTTCCTGGAGAGCATGTGTGATTCAATTTCATGGTGTGAGTGCCATTGATCTCTGAGTTGAACTGTGTCTGTGGTCGTATGGTTATGTAACTGTTGATGTATTGTTGTGTAACTGCCCTAGTGTTATGTAACGTCTTGGAAAAATTGTGGGGGGGGGCCCAATTGACATTCCGTCTCTACACCGAAATATTTCCCACTGTAAAGTGGCTGCTACCGTGTCTTCTTGTCTGTCGATCCAGGAACGACAGCAGAGCACATGGCCAAGATTGCTTGGAAGAACCACAAACACTCTGTCAACAACCCGTGAGCCATTCTCCACACGCAATGTAACGTGAAAATTCTCACGCACGGGTGGTATTATTATCCCTGTCATTAAGAAGCAAGTAATATTTTGGTCTAGGCAAGTGGGAGTGAGCCATCCCTATCGTGCAACTGCGAGGTTTGTTCATATGCATCTATTGACAAAGGCACCATCGCATACCGTGATTTTTATGCCATTCTTAATACATGTGACGTGAACATACATAGCATGTGCTGCAAGCTCTGAATAGTTAGTCACTCCCGCTCGCCAGAAAATGCCCGGAATTCGACCAGTTTATCCTGCGTGTCTCCCTCACTTTGATGTTTGTTAGAAACTCGCAGTTCCGGAAGGAGTACAGCCTGGACGAGATCAGGAGCTCTCGAATGGTTCATGAGCCACTTACAATGCTCCAGTGCTGGTACATGCTATTATTATACATGAATAAAGACCCCCTTTACTTCTCTCTAGAGGACACTAGTTCTTAGGAGACCTCTGAATAAAGACCCCCTTTACTTCTCTCTAGAGGACACTAGTTCTTAGGAGACCTCTGAATAAAGACCCCCTTTACTTCTCTCTAGAGGACACTAGTTCTTAGGAGACCTCTGAATAAATGCCACTTTCGAGGTCCCAAAGTGTCAACTCAAACACAAACCTCTTTTCAAAACCTTGAGTTTTTTTCATTATTTGCTATTCAGTGGCGAAATAGGATTTCCATATAAACCACTTATCATCCAGCTGTGTGCAAATTGCTGTCCTGTTAAACACAGCTGGATACATCCTGTCAGCTATACATACAGTGGTTTGAGGTGTGCCTTTGTGGTTGTGTTGGCGTTGTTGTAGGCTGAGTTGCCCTGGTAGTATATAATTATATAGAGCGCTGCGGAATGTCTGTGGGTTCGAATTCCACCCAGGGCAACTCTTCTTTCAAAGAATGAGCTGTCCTGGTGTAGTCTTGCCTTGCCTTGCCTTTCTACCTCGCTACCAAGTAGTTGAGACATACATACATACAGTGTCCTTCTTCGTGGGTAATCATTGGGTTTGTTCCTCTCGCAGCCCCACGAGTGATGGAAGTGCGTGTGCCATCTTGTGCAGCGAGGAGTTTGCCAAGAAGCACGGGCTCACCGACAAGGCCGTGGAGATTCTGGCCATCGAGATGGCGACTGATCTTCCCAGCACATTCAGCGAACGGAGTTGCATGAAAATGGTGAGCCACAAGAGTAAACCAACCCCATTGTAGTATATGAGGATGAATACACCTGTTGATATACACTGCTCTCTTCTAATGAATGGGGACACTCTCTAATAAGGACGCCTTTTCTTTCCCTAAGAACAGTTCTTGCATGTAATTTAACCCCTGGACTCCTACTAATAATTGATAATTGACACTTGTCTCTTTGCTATTCGGATTAGAGTAGCTCCACTGTAATCACACACCATATATACCCATGTAGCAGAGGTGGAAAGCAGCAAATACACCAAATTCAATTACGTCCAAAGTTGACTTTAGGATACCGTGTTTTTTTTTATGGACTATCTCACATTGCGTGCACCAGACCAGAGGAGGTTGTGCACACGTCATCACTTGCGTCACGTGCGCCTTAGAGACGTATGCTCGCCCACGCAACCCAGTCAACCTGCTGAGTCAGCACTTTCTGCAGAACGGCACGCTGGCGTTTGCAAGGCTACAAGTGTTCTCCGTGGTACAAACTTGGACGTGTAAACAATCGAGAGATAGCAAGGTCTTGGCCCACCTTAACACCAGCTAGAGCCACTTCCTTTCGCAGCTACGATACTTGATTACATTATAACCGCATGCGCTGACAGCTTAGGAATGTTGATTGTGCGCAACCTCCTCTGGCATGCACTGTGCTGGTGTTTGTCAATACCAACTGTGGTATACCAGTAGAAGCCTGTGGATCAAATTCAATGGAGGTTGTTATCCCTCCAGAAACATACCCACGATATCCATGAACATGGGGCACTATCAGTGTGGCACTCTGTTCACACATGAGGTGCACGCTACATGATCAACCACCTGGCGTAATATTACATAACATAGCCTCTGTGGCACCCGTCGGTATGTTGACTATTTACTTGTTATTAGTTGTTGCTGGCGGATTAGAGTAGCATCACACACCATACCCATGTAGCATAGGTGGAAAGCAGCATGATAGTGCCAGGAAAGTATCCTTTATATTGGGTAGTGAGCTGTGGGAGGATAAATTTGGTTGTTTGCTTGGCCTTGTTAAAGGTTTTATTTCGGATGTTTTGGAGCTAAGAAAGGTTAGGTTATACGGCGATAATCCCAGAGTACAACAGACCCAGTCTCAGATTGCGTCTGGGGAGCTGCAGGGTGTCGCTGGTGGAAGGGGTGAGTTGAGGTGTCTGGGAGGTGAGACAGACACCTCGTGTTCATATGGTGGTTCGTTTGTTAACATTTCCGCCCATTGCTCTGGGTGCGTGGTATATGGCCCTAGTGCTATGGCAGCCACCTGAGTATTATCATTCATTACGTAATCGTGCCGTGTCATTCGTATATAAAGTGGAAAATAATCAGATTTGAGACTCAGCCAGAGTCATTGCTCTGATTACAAACTGTGCTCCTCCCACACTCTATCTTATGGAAGGTCGGTTATGACATGACGCGGATGGCGTCGGACAAGGCGTACAAGAAGGCGGGGCTGTGTCCGAGAGATGTACAGGTTGTGGAACTACACGACTGTTTTTCTGCCAACGAACTCATCAGCTACGAGGCTTTGGGACTTTGCCAGGAGGGTAAGCCATCCCCGCACCCCTCTCTGTCTTCACTATACTGCACGTGTTCGTAAAGTAAAACACAAAGTTCTGAGCTGTACAACTCCAAGACAAAATGCTTGCCTGTAACATATAATACACAAAACTGGGCTGATTTTTTTAGTAATTTCGTAATCTACCGACTTGGCTGATTTTTTCAAACTCTGCTTGCAGTAAGAATTCACCGAGTATGGTGTTGGAGAGTGGCTGGTGTTCAACCACACACCTATCATCATCTCATCTATATATCTATTCATGCAGTTGACTTACTGCTCCACTCAACGATGATTCAATTTTGCATTTTGTTCAATACAAGAGAAGATAATGGTTCCTCTGTGTGTGCAGGTAGAGCCGGTGAGATGGTGGATCACGGAAACAACACGTATGGAGGGAAATATGTGGTGAACCCCAGCGGGGGTCTAATTTCCAAGGGGCACCCTCTGGGGGCCACGGGACTGGCCCAGTGTGCCGAGCTGTGCTGGCAGCTGCGTGGAGAGGCGGGGAAGAGACAGGTCCCTGGAGCCAAGGTGGGACTCCAGCATAACATCGGGCTAGGAGGAGCCGTCGTTGTCGCTCTCTACCGACTTGGATACCCCTCAACCAGGTTTTTCAATGCGGAATTGGTACAATACGCGCATGCGCAAATACAAGGGGCGGGGCTGATCTTCGACCTCTAGCTCTTCCAAAAAAGCTTGACGGCATGGATGATTCTGGCGTGAAGCTGAGCGCACCAGGAACGAGGTAATACTGAGGGGAAGTCGTGCGCCACGCGCTAGCATAGCCTGAGTACTCGGTGCACGCACACAGTAAGCCTTTACGTTTGCGCACGACGACGTCGGTCATTCCGGTGATCAATCATCTTCTCTTCTACTCTACGAAGGTCTGCCGTGGGTATGGCGCCCGCTGGCGGCTCCTCGCTCCAGTGTGATCCCGTCTTCGACCTCATCGCCGAGAAAGTGAAGGAGGTAACAAACTTGATCACGTGACAATGCAAGACACAACGGACCTGCTTGTATATTGCTTCCAGGAGGGGGCGTCAATGGTGAAGAAGATAAAGGGAAGCTTTCTGTTCAAGATCAAGGGTTCCGATGGCAAAGTGTACGAGTGGCTGGTGGACCTCAAGTCTCCTCCGGGCAGTGTCACCAAGGGAACCGGTATAAGCAACACACTACGTTGTCGTTACTAACCACCAGTGTGTGACTATCTTCTGGTTTGTACGTAGGGCTAAAAGGAAACTGTACCATCGCCATGACAGACTCTAATTTCATGGATCTTGTCACAGGGAAGATAGGAGCACAGAAGGTATGTACATATTTATGTAGTGCAATGCATAAATACAATTAATTGCAGGCGTTTTTTGAGGGAAAGTTGAAGATATCAGGAAACACTGCTCTGGCTCTCAAGCTACAGACTGTCATGCCCAAACCGGGGCAGGCAAAGTTGTAGATAGAGACCGTGAACAAAACGATAGATTTATATAGTTATTATGGTGAAACAGTGTGATTTGTACAGAAAACGATTTCGCCTATAATTTGACATCGAGTCAATGCATGGAGAGGCGGTCATTGTTTGCGTGATATTACAGGAAAACAATGTCCCTAATTATTGACAATCCATGAACTGGCTACTGTTTGGGTATGTGGACGTGAATACGATGCCAGGCATTTGACAGGCAGCCTCTCAAGTTCCAGATGGGACCGGTGCTCTCTGGTTGAACGTTGTACGATCTGTCCACGGCCTTGCAGACGAGTTCGACTCTCCCTTCCCTGGACTCTGGTAGGGGGACACTCGTCTCCCACAACACCCAGGCCCACGCCCGATTGTACGGCTGGTCGGCCCCGGCAATTATCTCTGCAGTGTGCCACGAGCTTCCTCCATCGGCGGAGACGTCGACCCTCACCACTCCTCTCCCTCCTCCGCTCCACGCAATCCCTCGTAGAGTGACCTCCGATGTCTCCCCACTGGACTCTGTGAGGATACTCTCATCAGCTGGCGAGGTAATGAACGAAGTAACAGGCAGTTCTTGTATAGCGGGGGCGGTTGAAAAATCCACATTGTTCCAGTCAGTCGACGGAGAAAATCCCTTATAGTCGTTTTTCTGCCAGAAGCCACTGTACTCGTCTTTGCTGGCCACAACACTGGCGAGCCATTTGACGTTCCTTGCCCCTACTACTCCAGGTACAATAGCTCTCACTGGGTATCCATGATCCGGTGGAATATCCACTCCATTCATCTCGTAAGCCAGCAAGCAGTCCCCTGATGGGCTCAAGGCTTTCGACGCAGGTATAGATCCTCCATAGCGCTCACCTGTGAGGGGATTATTGTCCAGGCCCTCCAGATGAACATGCTCTATCTTATCCTCTCGTACTCCGGCGTGAAGCAAAACATCGCGGAGTCGAGCGCCGGACCACTCAGCTGTACCGATAGCTCCACCAGTCCAGGGGATTCCCCTCACTGGCTTGACTCTGTTTAGCTCCACACGTCTATTACCAGCACACTGAATCGTCGCGGTGACCGTGTGTCGGGGAAACTCTGTCTTGAGGTCTTCCAGACTCAGAGATAGCGGGGTTTTCACTCCCTCCCCCTTTACCTCCAGTCTATAGCTCTCCGGATTGACTCTAGGGACTGGGAGGTGGTTCCTCACGTAGAAAATATCGTTGGGTGTTGCGAAATTCTCCGCAAGAAGAACCGACGGAGTTTCGGCATTGAAGGGGGTTTGCGTGTTGACTTTGAGGACGGGGGAGCGTTGGGGGTCGCTTGCGTAGGGGCCCGAATTGGGAGGACCCTGCTGGATTACCTTGTTTCTCTCCGCAGGGGCAATGTTCCCAATACGCAGTTCCTCTAAGATCTCTCTCACTTCCTCTGTGTTGTGATTTGCAAACACGGCCCAGTAGGGCTCCAGCGCGGAGCCCGCGGCGAGGGAGATCTTCTCCGCCCCCCCAGGATGGAGGCTAAGAAAGTCCGTAATGTCGTAGACGCCGTGTCCGTAGGTAACCCACACTCTTCCTCCGCCTTCTTCCCCTCCCGATCGCTTCTTGATCTCGGCGAGAGTGTACTCTGGCAACCCAGGGACCACCTCCCCGGCTTTTACCCCATGCTGTTCGTTACAATCCACCGACCAGGACGATAGGGTAGCAGTCCTGAAGAAATGTCTGTAGAGATAGTACGAGCCACCTCCCAGGCCTATCCCCCCGACTGCAGCAGCAGCCAGCGATATGAGCTGTTTCTGACGCCGCTGGGATCCGCGTGTCCATGCTGAGCGTGTGGAAACGGCTCTGGAGAACGCCCTGAGGCTCCCAAAGAAACGAGCCATGATCTCTCGACCTTGACCTATGAGAGTTTCGCGGATTTTTTCGCGCAGAAAATACTACACGTGACTCTAGACGTGACCTAGCTATATACGTAACCATAGTGATAGCGCTAACAAAACTTTTTCAGTGGAGAGCTATCGTATGCCAGAGAAGCCCGAGGCAAAAGAAAAGGCGGGGGCAGCCCCCGAGGCTGCAGGTGAGCAGGCGGAAGGGGGAGAAGGAGTGGAGCCTTCTGAAAGCAAAAGGGGCCCGCCGGCGGGGGTGGTTCCTCTGTTTTTCTCGGGCCCCAGCCAGCAGATCTTCGGCTGCGTGGTGGACGTTGACCTCACGGACGAGAACCCACACAAACTCATTCACAAGAAGAAGATTCTGGAGGATTTCAAGAACAGAGCCGCCGTCTGCGATTTCTTCCCCGTCAAGCAGAAAATACTGGTACAGTGTACATGTAGCTAGCTAGTTTTGGACCACTTGTGTCAATTTTATCCTGGCATGCAGGACTACCCTGGAGAAGAGATACTGCTGGTATACGACTACGACTTCAAGTATGGAGAAAATTTCTACGTCTGTGTCACAGAGGAAGCAAAGGAACTTGTGCTCAATGTAAGTGATTGTGTCAAAACTGCAGTATCGCTTCATCTGATCGATTTTTCACAGCCCCCGGCAGAGGAGACGGGGGGAGAAGGAGAGGGAGAGGGAGGGGAAGAGGAGTTCTACGAGATCCCCAAGACTCCTCAGCCCAAGGAGTGGGTGTGTCTTGGCTCAGACCTTGAGATTCTGGACTCTCAAGTCCACACCACTCGCCCTCTGGTCAGTCAGTGACTCCCTCTACACGTAGACCTCGATGTGAAGAGATAGGAGTCAAACTCGGGCACGGTGACTGGAATTCAACAGTCTAAGTAATTGGCTGCAACTGCAAAGCCAATCATCATGATTATGTCTTCTATCAGCATTTTTCTTTCGTGGCTAGGTGACCTAGCAGTAACTGCCACTCATCCAAATAGTCTTTGTTGATATCTAGGATCTTGGTTTGGCACGTAAAGATTAACTTTGCACATCATGTCCCCACCATTAGGTGCAGTTCACGGTGTCACGAAAGAGACACCAGTTCTGTCGTCCCGTCACCTACACTGACGGCACCGGTCTGGAGACCGTAGATATCGTCTCCCAGCCCGAGCCTGAAGGGGAGGCCCCTCTCGTTACACTGGAGCTGGAGACCGGGGTGCAGGCAGTGCAGGAGACTATGGAAGCATCCTGTCAGACAGAGAGGTAGCTATGTATATGTTTTATTAATCTTATTTTACGTTTTCCTCCTAAGATATTGGTCTAGGGTTTTTGCATGATAATAGTCAAGATACTCCGGAAGCTGTTTGCCCATGCCTTACCAAAAAAAAACTGGCAACAACTCTGTGAAATGTCACTACTATCACAAGAATGCAGTTGACTGACTACATCTTTGTTCTAGGCGTGTACCGTGCAATGCAGTGGTGCAGTATGAGCCACAGACACTCAGTGACTCTGAGACTGGGGCTCTGATGGGGGGAGAAGAAATGGCCGCCTTCCTGCAGGAAGTCTACCCCAGGTAGAATCAACCACTCTCCCGCTGCTACTGTGCTAGTCCCCTTCCTCTTTCTCTGTTGCTGTGTGTGTGTGTGTCAGGTTGGAGATTAGTCTACAGCAGAACCTCATCATGGACCTGTTTGTGGACGACTGCAGAGCTCTCTCTGACGAGGATTGGATGACAGGGTCAAACTCGGGCACACACCTCAAGGTAAGAAAAGGTTCCACTATTAGCGTCTTAACTATAGCGTCTTGCTTTGGTGCATCATAGAACGTGGTACGAGAAAGGAGAGAAAAATGACCGTATGTGTGTCTCTTACAGGAATACCAGTCTTTCACAGACCTCAAGTTCAGTAAGGACAAGGTAATCAACTGGATAGAGTGGCACCCTGTCATTAAGGGAGTGATAGCCGTTGCCTGTGGAGAGGGCTACTCTGCTGATGAGAGAATCGACCTGTCCACTCGTCTCACAACCTCTCGTGCTCTCATACTCATCTGGAGCTTCACCGACCCCATACACCCTCAGGTTAGTGTGGCTGGTGGCTGATTTGTAACTTCCAAAACATTGTACCAATGACTACTGAACTTAATGGCAGCCCAAACTTTTAGCTCTCATGATGTGTTGATGTGTAGAGGTGTCCATGTGGTGTTGTTCTTTACTCCTCCAGCTGTTTCTGGAGGCTCCTGAGGACATCCTCTGTTTCAAGTTTAACCCCTCTGATCCCAACATAGTAGCCGGAGGCTGCATCAACGGGCAGGTCAAAAATCATCTATCTCTAACTCTAAAGCATTTGCCAATGCGACAAGTCCACATTTAATGGATGAAGTTTCTATCTTAAATTTTATGTCCCTGTTAGTGTATGCTGTTGATGTGTGGTTTGCTGTTTCTGTCAGGTGGTGCTGTGGGACATCAGGGAGTATGCAGACAGACTCCAGATCAACAAGACCTCAGACCAGACCGAGGAGAGATCACGAGCTGACAACATGGTGAGGATGGAGCTCTCAACTCACATCTTTATTTCTCTCTTCTACTCCCTCCTCACTCACACGCACGCGTGCACGCACACACACACTCGCTCATTCGCTCACATCTCTCTCCTCCTCCTCCTCCTCTGTGCCAGGATATATTCATCACAGACGTGAAACTGGACCATTCGCCGATCGTCCCACCTCTGGTCCTCTCGTATCTTGAGCACAGCCACAGTCTCTCCGTCTCCCATCTCCACTGGATTCCCGATCACAACGAGGTGAGAGTAAAACCCTCCAATTATACCCCCCTGTCGTTTTACCAGCAGTGTGGATAAAAGTGCATCAAGTAGCAATTATGCACACTATCAAACTGATGTTGTTTGTATACCTGCTCCTTTAGTGATCTTCACCTTTCTGTAGCAAATATGTCACCAATTATAGCTATAATAGTACCCCAATACAATTGTTCCCGCCAACAAAATTGCTTCCCGATGATGCGGCTCAAAAGTTCCATAAAACATTCTGCAGATTTGCGTGAAGTCCACTCATGTGCTGGAAAACGTCTCCCAGTTCTCTCATCAGCTCGTCACCTGCGGCATTGACGGGTGGGCCCCTCTGTTCCCCACACAATCAATGACATCATCATTGGTGGGCGGGGCACTGTATGTAGGTATGTGATGATGTGGGACACGAGACCCCAGCAGTCGGGGAAGAAACCGACCTCACCACATAAGACAACCACACCCCCTTCACTCACGGACCTTGACCTCACCTGGAAACCTTTCTACAAGGTGTGTATCGTTCCGTAGAGCTAACTTCACAGATTTTGGAGGAGAAATTTTAACTTGAGTTTGTCAACACTGTCAGTTGGTATGTGTGGCACACTAAGACTGAAGTATAATTATATTCACGAAATTTATTTTGGGATTTCATAAAATCTGCGAAATTTTTGAAGTTTTTTGTCGTGCATGAAAGTGTATTAGTTATACTACATTTCCTATCCAGATACCGCTGCCTCGCTCTGAGCTACCAAAGACCTTCTCGGCCACGAGAGTGAGTCTGAGAGAGAGGCAGAGAGGGCGGCGGGGAAGGCAGGGGAGGGGGGAGGTGGGAGACGTGGAGAACCAGCAGGTGGAGAAAGGGAGCGCCAACATTCATCCGATTGTCAGTCAGACTGATGCCGGAACTGGACCAGAGATCGAGGGGGCTTCGACCAAGTATTTCGTCGGCACGGAGGTTTGGAAAAACTCCACCCACCATACATACATATACATAAAAAATCTTAACAAAAGAGCAGCACTGATTTCATGACTGGATGAAATCCGAAAAAAATTTAAAAGTGTGCACTGACCGGGAATCGAACCCGGGCCTCCCGCGTGGCAGGCGAGAATTCTACCACTGAACCATCAGTGCTTGACACACTTGCTCTGACAACCACTCACAATCTCGAATCTTTCGACCACAGGACGGCGAGATAGTGTGGGGAGATTGGACACCATCCAAAGACCAAGAAAGTGGGAAATTCATTCGTAAGCTAATCTCTCCCACTCGCTATACTATAGACCTTAATATGTTCACCTCTGTTGGTGTTATCCACACAGCCACGCGACCAGATTATTTCTCATACGGTCACTGTGGAAGTGTAGTCTGCATGGAGAGATCTCCTTTCTTCAGAGACATACTTCTGACTGCAGGAGGCTGGACCTGGGCCATCTGGAGAGAGGGAGAGAAAGTTAGACTCCCATATAACCCTCCCCATGTTCCATTTTGTCTGTATAATTATATCCCACTGTAGAATGGTCCTCTCCTGTCGTCTTGTAGCTGTGCGGTGCAATACACATGTGGTACGTGGTCGCCCTCCAGACCAGGTAGGTCATTACATCACTCAAAAAGAGTGCAGAATGCTACATACAGACTCCCCAAACAGAGTGGTAAATTACATAGACCCCTCTCAAGCAGAGCAGTAAGTTACTTAGAGCAGTAGGCTCCATATACACCACTCAAACAGGGCATTAAGGCCCATATACAACAGTACGTTCCATAGATCCCAGACATGATCTCCTGTATATACATGTGTGCAGGGGTGTTCTTCCTGTGCCAGCAGAACGGAGGGTTGGAGGTGTGGGACCTGATGGACCGCTCACACGAACCAACTCTCTCCCAGAACATCTCCTCCCTCCCCATCACCTCCATCAACCCCTTCAGGATCACATGTGAGTCATGTGACCCTCACATGACAATTACATCATGTGCCCGATATCATGTTTTGTGTGTGCAGCATTACGATTTTGAGGATAGAAATTTTGGGGATAATAGCATTGAAGAATATGAGGGGCAGTGACTTGTAGAAGGGGTCTTCTGGCGAAGAGTAGGATGTGCAAGATTCACTTCAGGGATATTGTCACCTTGGATGATAGTGATCCGTGGTGTTTCTACGATGATTGCAGCAAAGCAGGAGATGTTGGCCGTGGGAGACAGTGCTGGGACTCTACATATACTGGATGTTCCCTGGGCTCTCAAGAACCCCTCCACCAATGAGGTATATATATACAATAACATACTACCTTCACACAGTGTTTCATTGCACTGTCATGGTGTGGTGCTGGCCACTGGGGTTGGTGCAGTTCTTTTGGCATTGTTGTTGGGTTTTGAGAGTTTAAGAGTTGAAGAACCACCATATGAATCTCAATACAAATCTTGTACCATGATGAAAACCTGAGTAAACTGTGGCAGTATTAACTAACGTGTGTCTGTGTTCCATAGGATGGTATAATGGAGGCATTCTTTGAGCGGGAGACCCAGAGAGTGGGGTTCTCATCTGGGAGAACAGCTGCCAGAGCCGCCGCCAAGAGGGAATCCATGACAGCTGCCTCTGCCGAGCTCACTAAGTTTGCCTTTATTCAGAAGTTTTGACCCCAGATTGATAAGCAAGTATGATAAAGCAGTGGATATACCTTGAATTAAGAGGTTAATGCAATGTATCATAATATTGAGCAATGGATGGGGGAACATTTGACTGTTCAGAGGTATCTTTATACGGGTATATTATCTTAGCACTGGATTGAAACTTTAGAGAAGTGTCCTCATCAGAGGTATACTGTATCATTTATAGCTCTGCCCCCACAGGAGGAGTCGGCCCCAGAGGGTGAGCTGGAGCCGGTGTGGCAGGAGGAGGCAAGGAGAGAGTATGAGGACTATCTGGCCACTGAGAATAAACTCCTCATAGAGCTGGGGTTGGTGGAGCCACTCCCCCAGGACAACGACTGAGCAGCACACTCACAGGACCATTGCATCAATCACTATAATAATAGTCACAGCTACATAATGTACCAATCCTGTGCTAAAATTGATACTGTGCTAGGAATAAACTTGTGTTAGGTCTGAGCAGTTTAGATGGGTGTATATATATACCTGACCTAGAACTAAGCTGTGGCTATCATTATGATGTGCAACTGGTATCAATGCAGTGCCTTATTGCAGGCTAAAAACCATAGACGTGTGGTGTCAATTTAAACGTAGTCCCAGAGCAACAAGTTTGATATGCAATCAGTACATAATATTTTGTAGATCAATAATATTATTATGTCACACTTACATATTATGTCGGTGAAATAATACGAGTCGAAATGATATAACGTTAGACGCAGAAACTAAAGACCCTTTGCAGAGTCCCCATCTTATTCTTCTTGCTACTAGTGTTGATCATGGGCGTCTTTTCGTTGCTGTCATCATATTCCCCCTCCTCGCTCTCCACCCCGGCTGTCGCGTAGGTCTTCTCCGGCCGCAGCCAGGACTCAGGGAAACAGGGCTTCTCCTCCTGCGGCTCCCTTCCTCTGAACAACACGTAGTGCTGGAACATGAAGATGATGTCGAAGAAGATGGACAGGGCACCCAGACCAAACTTTGTTGGGTCTCCAAAAATCGACTTCCAGTCATCTGTATGGGACACGATATACCACCCTTCAATTTAGTGAGGTGTCCTTATTTCAGGGGTAAACCATATGCAAGAACTGTTCTTGGGGAGGGAATATTAGAGAGGTGCCCTCTTTTCAGGCATATCGGTTTTACACTGTATTCCACCACACGACAGTCGTGTGACTAAGGTCTAGTAGTCACATGATCTGGTCTGGGTGTCACATGACCCCCTCACCGTAGTTATAAGAGATGAGAAACATCTGCAGGATGCTCAAGGCTCCACCAGTGAAATCTAGTAGGACGTTTCCGATGCTCCACCCCACTGTGCTGCGCCTCCTACAGTTCATCACTGCCTGCAGTAACACACACACATTCAGTGTCTGATGCCATATTATGTGAAGGCTCTGACATCATGTAAGACTGTATGACATAATGGTTGTCTTCTGATACCATTTCCAAAACCCACCAGCAAAAAATCCATCATACAATTCTGTACTCCCTTGTGCAAACAAGGTAACCAAAACTGAAAGTTATACTTTGAGTATCGTCAGGCCAAGGTTCTCCCCTCCCTCCTCCATACCTGAGGGATGTATTTGACAAGAGTGACGGCCAGCTTCACGTAGGAGAAGACGTAGAGAAAGTTGAGCCAGGAGAGTTTTCCTCCGATGGAGACAAACAGAGAGATGAAGACAGCCAGCCACAGCAGAGCCACGAGGATCCAGGCTGGGATGGACACACGCTGCTTCCCTCTCTGAGAGAACAATAGACAGCGATATGATCTGGTGAAACCTCTGAATAAGGGACACCTTGGGACGTCAAAAGTCCTTTATTCAGAGGTATCTCCTGTTCAGATCGCTAGTGTATTAGTATGGGGCAAAACAAAGTGTCTCTTTATAGAAGAAGTCTCCTTTCTTCTGATGTGAAGCAACACATTAACGTATTAATACAGGGCAGAACCAAGTGTCCTTTAAAGAGAGGTTGTGTCTATTACGAAGAGGGTCCATTATCAGGTGTTTCAGAGTACTTGGTTGGCTGATGGTGATATAGTATACCTCGAATATGAAACACTGGAATATGGTGAACCCAGTGGCAGCTATTGCATGCAGCGTGAAGACGACGTCGTTGATCTGGACGGGATTGACTCCACCCGGGTGGAGCTCCTTATACTGCTCCTACAAATGTAATAGAGAGAGAGAGACAGGGAGAGACAAAGCGAGGAAGGTGAGGGGGAGGACAGAGAGGAGAGTTTGAGGAATCCTTCTTGCTCTTTCAATATTTTAGTTAGGTTAGTGAGAGTGAAATTCAGGAGATAATAGAGATAGCCACACAGCTGTATATACAAGTTATTCACAGAGAGGAGAAGAGGAAAGGAGGAGAGGAGGAAGGGACTGAAAATAGATCTTGGAGACGTCTAGAACTTGGAGACGTCTCCTAGAAATAGCGTCAAGAGAGCAACGCTACTCTACAGGAGTCAGGAACGTCACGTCAGTAGAAAGGAAGCTGTTTGTAGAGCGAGGCTGACCTTAACTTCAGGGATCCAGAACATGCCGACATTGAACACCCCGTAGGCTATGAACCCAGTGATGTTGAGAGCGAGAAAGTCGAAATTGAGACCCACGACACTCCGTCGACGGAAATTCTCAATAATCTGAACAAAATTCGAGCACACATCATCAAAATCTGCCTAAATGTTGTGCTATAAATATAATTACCTGTGGATAGAAGGAAATAGACCAAGCGGCAAAGTAGATCCACCCCACCACCATCGAGAAGTAGTATATCCACTTTGCATGAATTACTGAGACTTCGCGTTTCACCTTGTCCAGTCTGGGGAATGGGGAATATTGCAGTAGATGAGAGCGCGGAGAGGAAAATGCTAGATCTGTTACTTGTAGAAAGGAGTTTCAGTTTGGTTATCGATGCTGAAAGATAGGGTAGCAATGCCTGCTCTTTTTGCCCTCATGACAACGCGTGTGTCGTTGCCACCATCCAATTCTACCTGAAAAGTTTGTCAAACAGTGAAACATAGATAAAGATGGGGAGGCTAGAGTCACGGGAGGCTAGAGTCATAAGTGAGGCGGTAAGAAACCAAATCTATGACACCCATTTTTTCCACGGAAAAAAGAGCTGCCCTGGGTGGGACTCGAACCCACGACACTCTGCAGTCTAGGCGAGCACTCTACCAGCTGAGCTACCGGCAAAGTCGATACAACAGAACAGTTATAAAACAAAGCAAAGGATTACCTTATCAGGTGCGTCTATGTGAGTGTCTTTGAATGAGATGTTTAGGTACACAGGATTGATTCAAAGGAGGGCTGGGGAAGAAAGGAGAGAGAAACAGAGAGAAAGTGAGAAAACGACTCTCGTTTTGTGGGTAGTTTCAGGGATAGAGAGAGGTTCATACTTGGTGTGTAGTCTGAGTGAGGTGTTGTGGCCAACTTCAACAGTCCTCGGCTGAGTCGCACAGAGCACGTACGTACCATCTGACGACAGTAGAACAACCAAGTAAACGTAGTCTATACAGCACAGCCTATCTTTTATGCGACAATCGTATACTGCAGGCGTGCGCCTACCTCTCGGCCGGTAATCGCAGGTGCTCTGTGCCCCGCCGAAGAACAGCCACAGCGAGACGCAAAAGAGGGATAACCGCTTCATCTTCGAGCTTTTCTCTGCTGCATAATTATGTCACATGACTGTCAGATCTGACCTTTGAACCTTTCCATGCGCGCGCGACCAGGAAAGATGGCGGTAGTCCCGCGACTAGCGGCCTACCATTGGCCCTGCAGACTCATGCCCAGTGCGTCCGCCTTGCCTCCATCCTCACCCTGGCAAAGACGGTTACTGTCACTGATATTCGCAAGGCAATCTTCCAGGGCCTCCAAGAGAATGCTAAAGTAAGTGTGTTTGGTCTCATTCCGGTTCCATATCCTCCACATTCCAGACTGGGAATCGGACCTGACGGGAAGCCCCTCCCCCAACCCAACAAGAAGAGGATCCATCCTCGCATGTACCCTGTCCTAGTGGTCAATCAAGACGGTTCGACCTACACCATGAGACACAGGTCCTCTCCTCTCTTCCCATCGCCCCATATTCCATTCCGTCATTCCCCCGTACCCCAGGACCCCACTCCGGATCCTGGCACTGCCGCTGGACCCCGCGACACTGACCCCGGAGGAGAGAGAGGAGAGAGAGAGGGCGAGACGAGCGGCCAGGGAGAGGGTTTACGTGGAAGAAGATGTGGAGGAGGATGATTGGGACCAGGACCACTATAGGAGGCTCATTGACAGATAGCATCATCCATCATTTATCATTTATCATGTTCCACATAAACTATTCACCCAACGCATTCTTTCACTGCAGCTATACATTCATAATTGACCGAAAACTCTATAACATTATGCTCGCTCTTTTGAAACTTGAGACTCTTTCGCTACGTGAAGAGTGGATTGACGTAATTACAGCATGAGGTACAAAACAGATATACAGTATTTATAAAACAGGTTTGCATGAAAGTTTGTCTAAATAACAAAATGTTGCATATTATATACATTATTGAACTGAAAATTCATGAACAGAGCAATTAATAAACAGAGGAGAGCTCAACGATAAGTGAAAGGATTGAGAATAGAATAATGCATACGAACATAGATGACACAGAGAGACACAGGTTCAGTCCCAGTTTATTTTGAACTTTGTCACCCGTGGACTGCAGGCCAGTATGTTTCTCTGTAGCTGTGGAAGATATAGAGTCAGTAGAGCAGCATCTGAGAGCTGGGAAACCCGACTAACCTTCTCAAAAACAGGTTTTGCAGGCGGGTTTTCTGCCAGCTCTGGGTCCGTGTACTCGTTGTTGACGTAGTAACCGACCCGAACAAACTCGTTTGACCGGAACGAACAGGTTAAGAGGACGACTGTCACGCCCACCACGTCCTCCTGTGGCAACTTTTCAGGGTTTGGAGAGTCAGCCTGTGTAGTAGCTTGCTTAATAGCAGTACCCTCAAATTTCGACACCAAGAAAGTGTCCATATTTCAGGGGCAACATTGCACCCAAGAAACCGTTCTTTATAATTAGAGGCAAACCTGAAAGACAAATCTGTGTTTGCCTGCGGGTACAGGCCCCACCAGAACAGAGTCCAGCGTCTGGTCGTAGGCCTCGCTGGACGCCGACCCCACGTACACTATCTGCCACTCAAGGTCTGCAGAAAGAAAACAAGGTGCGCACTTATTGGAATAACGTGTCGCTGTGGGAAAACGCGGAGATGTAGCCCTTCTTCTCACCGTCTGCCAAGTCCTCCTGACAGTCGAAGGTGATCTCGAACTGAAAGGGGTTCATGAAGGCCGTGGGGTTGTCCAGTACCGTTACGTTTGCCAACTGCACTTTCGCCATGCCTCCCCTCCGATTTTTACCGCCAAATTCCCGCGCAACGGTTTAGCCCCGCCTTCTTTCCACGGTAGGCTCCTTCCAGGGAGGAGGAGGAAAAGAAAAACCTATGACAAGGTGACAAGGCGTGCAAGAAATTCCCAATAGCACAGGCAACAGTACAATACGGAGCACAGATGTAGCAGTCTAAGAAATCCTTTGTATCTGTGGCTCAAGAGATCGAAGGTCGGAGATGGTTTGGTTGAGTCCTCTAATGTCAGAGGTCATGGTTTGCAGCTCCACCAGATAGTGGCTGAGGCTGTCCTTCACTGTCGCATTGAAAGACGGTCTGAGAGGGAGAGAGGAGAGGGAGAGAGAAGGAGAGAGGAGAGGGAGAGGGAGAGAGGAGAGGGAGATGTGTACATGTATGGAAAAGGGGGGATAAGAGAGTAATCCAATTCGAATTCTCGATTTCGTTTTACCTCTCAAAGTTTGCCACGAGAGAAGGCCTCTCAATGTACACGAGGACTAGGGAGTGAATGGCATTCAAGACATGCAGAGGCTTTCCAACAGTCATCCAGAAAGAGTCCTACACACACACAGAGAGAGAGAGAGGAACATATGGGGAGACACACACACACACAGAGAGAGAGAGAGAGGAACATATGGGGAGACACACACACACACACACACACACACACACAGAGAGAGAGAGGAACATATGGGGAGACACACACACACACAGAGAGAGAGAGAGGAACATATGGGGAGACACACACACACAGAGAGAGAGAGAGAGGAACATATGGGGAGACACACACACAGAGAGAGAGAGAGAGAGGAACATATGGGGAGACACACACACAGAGAGAGAGAGAGAGGAACATATGGGGAGACACACACACACACACACAGAGAGAGAGAGAGAGGAACATATGGGGAGACACACACACACAGAGAGAGAGAGAGAGAGGAACATATGGGGGAGACACACACACACAAGAGAGAGAGAGAGGAACATATGGGGGAGACACACACACACACACAGAGAGAGGAGAGGAACATATGGGGGAGACACACACACACAGAGAGAGAGAGGAACATATGGGGAGACACACACACACAGAGAGAGAGAGAGAGGAACATATGGGGAGACACACACACACAGAGAGAGAGAGAGGAACATATGGGGAGACACACACACACACAGAGGAGAGAGAGGAACATATGGGGAGACACACACACACACACACGAGAGAGAGAGAGGAACATATGGGGTAGACTGAAACTGAAATGACCCCATTACACTGAAATCTACACCAAAGCCTGTTTCCTTGTGGCACCAGATAGAGAGCTGGCATGTTGCATATTATTAAGTCTATCTGTGTGTCGCAGTGTCATAGTGGCAATGCTAATGTAAGCAGAAGATGTCACAACTTACCACAACGTAAATCAGTATTATGTGCATAGAGCAACACCAACCTTGGCTTTGAAGAGTCGGTCGTAGATTCCAAAGAGGGTGGAGAGTGCCACGCCCACCTCCAGTAGGGTCTGGTGCACAAACCCAGAGTCCCATTCCAGCCTGGCCCCAGTCTGTTCCAGCAGCTGGACCAGGTAGGCCAGGGGGAAGTAGCGCTCGCTGCGACTGTACTGCTGGCCCAATTCCACCAACTTTGTCCGCAGTCCGTGCAACTGACTTGGACTGTGGACACCCACTGGAATATTCTTCACCTCTGCAGACAGTAAGAAATCACTCTGATCAACATTGAAATCCAAAATATTTTGTGGTTAGCAGTTATTGCTGTCAACACATCTAAGTAAGGTAGTACTTAGCATAGTGTTATGTATGCTGATTGTGAGAAGTCATTTTGGGTGACCAAATATGGGAGAGATCAACGCTAAACAGGCACAAAGTTTCTCCTCCCAGGCGTAGGTATATGTACACATACCACCATCGATGATCTCCCTCCAAAGACTCTCAATAAGAGTTGGGTCGTAGTGACCAGCACAGTGGACGATGGCCAATTTGCACTCGGACAGCTCAAAAGTGTCAGCGTACTCTCCGTAGAGCGTGGATATATCCGCCAACTGGCCGTCCAGTTTGCGGATGGCGGTCTTCACGGGCTGTGTCTGGGGCTGCAGTTTCAGGGCCTCTGATATCTGGAGCTGAATCCTGGCCACCTACACAGATGGAGTATTCATGGAGGATGAGAGAGAGAGAGAGGATGAGAGAGAGGACGAGAGAGAGAGAGGGGAAAAGAAAAAAGAAACTGATTGTAGTGTTAGATGTTTCATCCTAAACGTAGCATATTGGAACTGTGAGAAAAAGCATTTTACGCAGACTAAAACTATGTCATGCAGAAAACTCCACGATTTGGTGATTAAAAGATATTTTTTACAGAAAAGATGGCGCTTTTGAAATTGATGAATGTTTCCTCTCTCAGTTTCCAACTGTATATACAGTATGTATAACGCATACCTCCATTTTCTCCTCCAGTTCATGGAGGAGTTCTCCGATAGTGTCGCTGGTGGTAGTGAGTCTGGAGCTCTTGGCACACATGACACCGCGACTCATGTACTCCACTCTCTGATCTAGAGTTAGCTCAGGGCTGAGGAGAGGGGAGGGAGGGGAGAAGGAAAAAACAGAGTAGATATGAACTCAGCATAAAATATAAAAAAATGCTTAGCAGAGAGAGAGAGAAATTTTGATTTCTGTATCAGAATATCGTAGATTACTGGTCCCCTAAACCCTCAATAGTGGCTAATGCCACACTAATGCAAAATTCTCTCCTCCCACTCACTCTTGCTTGTGAGCCAGTTCGTCGAGGATGCGGGCCGCCCCGGAGTAGGCCTTGGTCTTCTCGTAGTACCTCCACAGGAGGTCCAGGACGTGTCTGTTATCTTGCTGCACACAAACACACACAAAATACAGTCATCATGCATAATTGCCAATGTAAACATGTTAAAAAGCTAAACTTTCCTAACAACTATTATTCTCTCCAAAAAGTGCTATATATGTACATGTAAAAATTTAAAGGCGATGACTGTAAATATATACATACCTGTACAGAAGCCATGTTGTTCAGATAGTCTTCAATGAACGGAGACTGGATCTGTATACACATATAAACATGTCACATGACAGTCGGGTGAGTATCATGTGATCCGGACCACGCCCACCTCAACGAGGGTCTCGGCCATGTGGGCAGCGATCAGCCAACTGTATACAGTCACGTGGAGCAGTTCGTCCTTTGACCTCAACACCAATGCTAACATCTCTGCAAACTAACACAATAATCATAGCTGCAAATTCTCATCATTCAAACCGCAGAATATGGTAAAATGAAAGAACTAGTACCAACACTAAAAACGGTATTCAGGGGGAGGACAATTCTACAGGATCAGAATATTTTCTGTGATCAAACCGATCAAACAGGGCCAGTGTGGTGTCAGAGGAAGAGAAGACGACGATGGTAAACTGCTTGCGACTCACCTCCTTGCGAGGGTCTGGTTTATCCGGCTCAGCCCTCTCCGTGGGGGGTCCCGGGTTGAGGGGGACGGAGGAGGAGAGGGGCGTGGCAGTCTCCCGTGACGACAGCTCCTCCAGCGCCACAGTGACCGGAGCATACACCTCTCCTCTATAGCCAGAGAGACATTTTAAAACACCACACGTACTATGATAATTAGCAACAGATTATTGTAATAGTGTAAGAGTGTGACATTTCAGCAGTTTACGTGTAATTAGAATTACACTTATGTAACTCCCTACAGGTCTCCACTGTACCGGTGTGGTTGATACCTCACCTCTCCAGGAAGGCCGCACGGCCCACAAGATCGTCCTGCGGCTGCCCGTTCTTGTAGTAGTGAAGAGCCATTCCCTGAGGGTCACGGTGAAGAGCTGCACACAAACACAGCTCCACTATCCCCTCGTAGTAGGCCACCTTGTGGTACTGGGAGCACACCGAGGACAGGTTGATCTGGTGGGTCACCTGACTGAAGTGCTGGACGAGGAGAGAGAGCGGGATTTAACACACACACTCTCTCTCCTTCTTTTCCCCTCTCCCTTTCTCCCTCGTTCATTGCTGACATGCATAATACTCAGTTGGAGTAGGGCATCTTTTGAGCGGTGCTCCCTCCTCAAAGCAAAACGGTTGTGGCATCCCTTTCCTATTCATCTTCTCTCTCACTCTATGTCTTTCCCTCTCTCACTCCTCTCCCTCTTTTAACCCTAACCTTAAGAGAATCCCGCAGCATGTTCATCTGGTCAAACTGGCTCTTCAGTCCAACAGCCACGCTCAGCAGCTCCTGAGCCTTGGATGCCGTGGCGTCATCATGGCTGAACAGAGTGGGTGTGGTCTCGCGGAGACGAGCACTGAGCGTGTCGGAGAGTCCGCTGTCTCCTGCATGTCTCTCCAGGAGCCGGGAGATGAGGGCAGAGGTCAACTGAGGGTGAAAGTGGCGGGCTTTAACTGGAATACACATTGAACTCGCAAATGGACTAAGAGGAATTTTGCAAGGTTTCGAAATTTTGTGGGCAGGGACTTTTTAATTAGTGGGACAAACGTTTCTTTACCAACTGTTAATTGTTACATACGGTATATTGTACATACTGTACCGGTTTTCCTGAGACTACAAGATGTCGAAAACTGGCAATTTTCAACTGCTCCTTTTGGTCCTGAAAAAACAGGAGAGACACACGTGGCTCAGCACTTGTACACTTTCAATCCCCTCCCCCTAGCTGTCTACTGACATTCGTGACGTCTTTGATGGTGAGGTTCAGCTGGTACTCGCAGAGCAGTTTCCATAGCGACAGGAATTCACAGCAATGAACCAGCAGCTGGTGCAGTGCTTTGAGAGAGTTCTGTTCCATCAGATGAGCATCCGCTAGAGACACACACAGACACACAGTACCGTACTACCGTACTACCGTAAGTGCTTATTCACGCTAAGATACAATATTCATTCATCTAGTGTATACCTTTGTACTTGCGAGTAAGAGACTGTTGGACGGTGGATGGAGACTCGGTAGGCATGCCTTCTGGCCGCATGAAGTTGAGCATGCGATGGTGCAGGTTAGCAGACGGAGAGGAGGAGGAACTGCAGGTAGAGGGAACGGGTCCTATTCTTAGGCGTGTGTGTCCTCGTTCCAGCTTACCCTGTGGGGTCAGCTGGGGTGAAGAGGTGCGAGTTGTGCTCGAGGAACGCGCGCAGGGTGTACAGTTGCTCCAGCAACACAGCCACAGATTCTAGGGAGAAGTTGCTCTGGAACTGCGGGGGTGGATAGACGGGGCGCGGTTACTATAATTAGCCAATATTTCACTGCCGCTATCAAGAGTTGGGGGTATAGCTCAGTGGTAGAGCATTCGACTGCAGATCGAGAGGTCCCCGGTTCAAATCCGGGTGCCCCCTCTCCTTTTTCAAAAATACTTTTCTACCATTTCAGCTTTCTTACCTATTTTCTATTTTTTTCTTCACTAACCATTGTAGAGGTTTTTTTAAATTTACTTTCTTCTTTCTTTACCTGTTCGTTGAGATAATCTCCAGGAGGCTTGAAAGTTGTGGTCATCCGGTAATTCCATATTGGCCTACATACGTACAGAGCTCCACTAAAACCATAACTACTGTATGATAGATACACAAACCTCAGCAGCCTTGACAGGTAGCGACAGAGTCCGGTAAACTTCCCCGAGAACTGGACCTCGGGTCCGACCACTGCCCTCCCTAGAGCCACAGGACCTTGAACCCCATACGGAGTGACTCCTGCTCCGTAGGGCGAGGCTACCGGTGCAGGGTAGGGGGGAGAGAGGGGTCCCGGGGGAGCAGTCTAGAGGGATACAGTGTCAGAGATAAAAACGAAACGCTAAAATGCAAACTCTGCTTGTGTAAGATGTCTCTGTGCATGAACGAACATGACACGATGATGTAGTGATGACGTCACAGTTTACGTACTTGTGGGGTCTGACCCATGTTAGTGGGTGTGGTCAGCAGGTGGGCGGGGCTCCCCACAGGTTGGCTGGCGGGACCGAGGGTTGTAGGGAAGACAAAGTGAGGCTCTCCGCCATACTTGAAAAAGGCCTTTGCAGCCCAGCCCGCAACCTGGAGAGGGGAGAATGATGTTTTCCTATGGAGCTCGTGCAAACTGTCAGTGTAAGGGGGGCAATGGTGCAACGTAGTTGTATGTCTGAGTACCTGTTGGTTTGTTCCAGTAGTAAGCACAAGACTCATGGCACAGGCCTGTGTCTCCTGCGGAGGTGGCAGAGAAGACACCATCAATTGAGAGAGGCCAGACATACATATGCACCAAACAGTACATACAGAGTACAGCAATAAGCTCTCGAACGAGAAACTCTTTTAATTTTGTAGCCAATAGCGATATTTATTTACTCTCGCAGATTGCAGTGAGTGTAACCCTTGAACACTTGCAAGGTATGTACATATGTACCTCTCTAAGACCATGAAGTTAGCTAGTCCAACCGAATTTCCCAAGTTAACAATTCTACATATGTGCCACTCTACAGACCTTGTGGAGTCTGAAGAAGGCCTCCACAGCCTCTCCTCCTGCTCCTCTCTCGGTCTCCAGCAGGTGTCGCAGTTGGTCCACGGGCCGCAGCTTTGTCAGCAGGTAGCTCCCCTGGGTCGTCAGGAGAACCAGTTGCCGTGGCGACTCGGCATGCTGCGTCACGACGACGGGTGGACGGGGATAATGACTGTAAGGGGTGCAGTCTTCTGGGTCGAGTGTCTCAGATATCGCCCACGTTCTTCCCTCCAGCGGTAGATTGACCTATCGGGGGGACGGGATTAATGTACGATGATGTCATCGTGAGGTCATGTGACGTACATGTGACTCCATGCAGGAGGTCTGGAAGGGGAAGAGGTCAGAGTCCACCATCCACAGCGTGTCTCTCTCTTCCGTCTGCGAGGCTGACATCACCAACGTCCCTGGAAGGGGGGGAGAAATACAAACGCACATTGTCTATCTGTAAACCCAATGTTCTATCTTAAATGCCTCACACAATACACGTACGTACGCATATCGCGAGAATACGTAATGTACAGCGATGGATTCCACAGGTCCCTCACATCACATCATAGAGATAGTGCCATATTAGGTGCACTGAAGCACTCACCTTTGCTGTGGTAGGTATGGTGGACTGTGGAGCCAGGTCGAACTGCGACAGAGGACGGAGAGAATCCTGGCGGAAGACGAACGTGGACAAGAGCAAGAAGAGACGGCCGGGCCTCCTCCCCATTTGGAGTGGTCGTGAAGTAGAGCCTCAATCCTGCAGAATGACACACAGAATCCCAGAGAGCTGAGCTGGTTTTTGTGTTGGGGAAAATCTTCAAAAAGTCCGTTGAAAATACACAGTTTAATGCACAAACAGTTTGTATGCTGCCTATCCAGCTAGCCGTGTCTGAGAACAGTAGGTCACAAAAATTGGCTGTTTTGCTGGTTTTAACAGAAACTGAGAGAAGACTCTCCCTTGTGGTGTCTCTCAAACAGACGATTTGATTGGGTCATTACCAGCAGAGGTGACGGCGAGAAGATGGAGGGTGGAAGATTCCGACCTCGGCAGAACTGACACGCCCACCAGGGACTCCGCGAGACTCCTGTCCCCCGTCCGCAAGGCAGAGAGGGTTAAACGACAAATGTCTCGGAACCCTATCTGAGCCACACGGGACAGTGACAGTCCATCGCTGCCCAGGTCATACACCTGACAATGCAAAAAGTCACACAAAAATATGAGAACTAGCCCTTTAAAAATTCCGTATTTACACCACGGCGGTAAAATTTTAGACGAACTAGCCCCTACAAATTACTTGTTAACTCTAAATGTTTTGAGCTGGTATTTCGTACAGTCATGGTGTCTTTGCTGCTCCTAGTGTAGAGGATGTGCCGCGAGCTGTCCACAACCATCTGGATCAGCGGATCTGGAGGAGCAGAAAGAGAGTGCAAAGAAAGGAATAAAGGGGAGGAGGAATTGGTTTGCAAATGTTACGAGGTGTATTTGAATAGCTCCACTGTCGTATCTTCCCAGAAATACACTTTGTCAATCTGAGATCAATTCTGAGATAGTACGTAGGTATATATAGAGCATCCATATAAATTATAAGTGCACTGAGTTCCTGGGAGGACCTACGGCAGTAAGTAGCATAATTACCTTCTTCGGAGAAAGAGAGGAAGGAAGGGACGAGGAAGGAGAGGGAGGACTGCGAGTGGTTCACTTTGCGACACTTGCTGGAGAACCAACCATCGTCTGCCTGGGGGAGGGAGTGGTGGAAGGGAGGGCGTGGGCACAAGACCAACACTATCATCCACAGATACAGTACACACAGTACACACAGCTAGCAGTACTACTCATCGTTACTATACTAGTAGAACTAACGCGACACAGTTTAGCGAGCAAGTGAGTGAGGCGAGTATATAAAACGTTTCAGCAGGTTCGTTCACGTCACATTGCTGCCAGAAAATCGCGACTAATCGCCTCACTTGCCAATTATGTACACGTCAGAATTTTGCTCCTACAAGCTTGTCATCACCCATGCCATCACCATCGTCACCTGGTAGACCACCTCGTAGAGGCAGCTGTCTTTGCCGGCCAGGAAGATCCTGCCCTCACCGGTCCCGGCTGCACTCAGCATGCTCACGTTGTCAGACGGGAGGTTGAACAGAGGACTCGGCTGCAGGTGCATCTCGCCATGGGGGTCTGTCTGGAGAGCTAAGGGGATCAGTAATCTCTAGTAAATATCTGTATACTATCGACTGTAAATCTCCAGTAATCTGAAAGTAATCCCTAGTAAATTGACCGGAAAAGTTGACTCCAATCTAGTAATCTCTAGTAAATCTCTGTTAAATCTCCAGTAATTTTAGAGTACTCTCTAGTAAGTGACCGGAAAAGCTGACTCCAATCTAGTAATCTCTAGTAAATCACAGTAATCTCTAGTAAATTGACCGGTAAAGCTGACTCCGAGGATGGTGATATCCACAGCCGTGGTGAGACAGAGCAGGAACCCAATGTGACTCTGGAAGACACCTTTCTTTGGAGAGATGAGGGCTGCTGTTAGTATCACCTCGTTCAGACCGTCGAAATAGGCCAAATCTTTCCTGCAGCATCACACAATATGTAGACGGTAGACGCAAGGAGAGAAGATATTCATGTTTATGACGAAGAGGGGAAGAAGAACTTTGAGAGAAGAGAAGGAAATGGGTGAGAAGAGATTTGAAAAGACGGGGGGGGGATAAAGAAAGAGAAGATCTTCATGTATTAATTATGACAAATGCGAAAGACACTAAATTCAGTTAGGAAGCAGAGAACAGAGAGAGGAAACGAAGACAACGAATAAGAGGGGAGATGTAGTGGCTCACCCGTCCTCATACTTCCAGAGGTAGATGGTGCTGTCAACAGTCAGCCAAGCTCGTCTGATCTCAGGCATCAGACCCATGGCACAGTTACACTGCATTTCTGATTATCTCGGTTCAGTAAAAAAACCACAATCACGACCGGGGGAAAATTTATCAAGAGACCTGCACTACATATTGATCTACCATGGCACAGTTACACTGCATTTCTGATTATCTCGGTTCAGTAAAAAAACCACAATCACGACCGGGGGAAAATTTATCAAGAGACCTGCACTACATATTGATCTACCATGACACAGTCACTGCACTATGAAAAGCTCTTGCAAATGATACAAAATGAAAGAGCAAAACCAGAGGGGGCACCCGGATTTGAACCGGGGACCTCTCGATCTGCAGTCGAATGCTCTACCACTGAGCTATACCCCCATGGCCACCACCTCTACACACCTACAATGATGTGAATCACAGCAAGAATGGTAAGAATAGAGCTGCAGATACTGTCAAATTCTTGAAGTAGCTCGGGAGGGAGAGGAACGTGGGTGCTCTGTCCGAGGTAGGGGAGAGAGGAGAGCTGCGGGAGGACGGAGGGAAGGAAGGGTAGTCGGTGTCTGTCGCTCCACTGCAGTTCGTCATCTCTGCAGCACACACAAACAACATACTCGATAGCAAGTACAGTGGGAACATGAATAGTGTACAGTGTTCATAGGGTATGTGTCCTTTGTTCAGAGGTATATAGTATGGAGTCAAACCATCACTGTGTTCATGGTGTGCACTAACTAGAACGTCTCACATATATTATCTATCAACCCGAATGTTTTTTGAAAAAGAAACCTTGGACATTGCATCCCATGCACGTTCTCTAGCTCTGCGGAAGATCTTACTGTGCGTGGCGATCTTCAGCTGTGCGCTGAGCTCCAACTGGCCGGCGTCGGACAGCAGGTGTTCGTCCACCAGGCGACCTGCACTCTCCAGAGACACCGTCGCCGGCTGCTGCTGGCTCTGCGGAGGAGCCGCACTCGCCGGAGTAGCCATCGCTCAACAGAGAAGGCTTGCTTTACAAAACCAGCGTGTTTTGAGAGTTTTACCTTTGACCTCCGAACGCGGTCAATTTTACGCGCATGCGCAGTTTATGTTACCGCTGCCATGACGATATAATAAGGTGTGTGTGTGTGTGTTGTGCGTGCGTGTGTGCTAGTGCATTCGTCTTTTTCCTTTGTGCCGTCCTTTTCCTTTGTGCTTCGTCTTTCCTTTGACTTTCTTCTCCTCAATAACTCTGCTCGCTCCCACCTCCATTTCCTCCTCTTCAGGACCACCAGCAACACCAATAGACTCCACTGTCTCACTTTCAGTGTCACTTTCCTTGACCACACCTCTATCCTCAGTCACCACCTCCTTCCCATTCTGTAACATATACAGCAGTGGATGATTGTGTAACACAAAACTGCAAACTGACCGTGCTATCAGGAACCAGAGGCATAATCATGTCTCTGCCTCTGAATCGCTGAGCAACTGTGGGATGTAGGAAAACAGCTGCAATTAACGGCTAATATGCAACCTATCAGCCCTCGGAGCAGTAGAAAAGCAACTAATAATACGTACTCCAATAAACTCAATACGAGCGGACACTATATGAACACAGAGAAGTTGATATTTTAGTTTTCTCACAGGGTTCTTGAGGGTGATGTAAGGATCGCTGTCATTGGAGGCAAAGTATGCCAGGCCAGCTTGAGAGAAGAGAAGGAAATGGGTGAGAAGAGATTTGAAAAAGACGGGGGGAGAGGGATAAAGAAAGAGAAGATCTTAATTATGACAAATGCGTTTTATGGAAGACACTAAAGTCAGTTAGGAAGCAGAGAACAGAGAGAGGAAACGAAGACAACGAATAAGAGGGGAGATGTAGTGGCTCACCCGTCCTCATACTTCCAGAGGTAGATGGTGCTGTCAACAGTCAGCCAGGCTCGTCTGATCTCAGGCATCAGACCCATGGCCACAGTTACACTGCATTCTGATTATCTCGGTCAGTAAAAAAACCACAATCACGACCGGGGGAAAATTTATCAAGAGACCTGCACTACATATTGATCTACCATGGCACAGTTACACTGCATTTCTGATTATCTCGGTTCAGTAAAAAAACCACAATCACGACCGGGAAACTTTATCAAGAGACCTGTACTACATATTGATCTACCATGACACAGTCACTGCACTATGAAAAGCTCTTGCAAATGATACAAAATGAAAGAGCAAAACCAGAGGGGGCACCCGGATTTGAACCGGGGACCTCTCGATCTGCAGTCGAATGCTCTACCACTGAGCTATACCCCGTAGCCACCACCTCTACACACCTACAATGATGTGAATCACAGCAAGAATGGTAAGAATAGAGCTGCAGATACTGAAAAAGAAGGGTAGTCGTCGCTCCACTGCAGTTCGTCATCTCTGCAGCACATACAAACAACATACTCGATAGCAAGTACAGTGGGAACATCAATAGTGTACAGTGTTCATAGGGTGTGTGTCCTTTGTTCAGAAGTAATAAAAATGTATTAGTATGGAGTCAAACCGGTGTCACAGTATATTTTATCCCCCGTATATTTTATCCGGGGGATAGTATATTCTATCCGGCCGGATAGAATACTCTTAGTGTGGAAAATATCCGGAGTCCGATATTTATCCCTCTAATAAGAAAATTTATGCGCATACGGTGCGCATCTAAACGCGCGGGACCATTTTGTTGGTGCCGTCGCTGCTCATACAGAATTGAATCTGCACGACTGCACTCTGTTTCTCTTCGAGACACAGCGGTGCGCGGGTCTGCTCGCTTCACCTGCGACCTGAGCTCCACGCTCGCTGGGATATCCGGTTAGTGTTCTACAGTCCGCTGGTGTAACGTCCAAACAAGGCTGTCATCGCATTCTGTAACGTTCAAATCCCCACAGAACCTCAAAATAACACCCCGCCTGCGTTTCGACACTCCTAATAATGCACAGCACGGGGTATAAAATATCCTGGGTGAGAATAGAATATCCCAGGAAATTTTATCCGGGGGGGGATAGAATATCCTATCCGCCCGGATAAAAATTCGGGGGGATGAAATGTACCGTGACACCGGCACTGTGTTCATGGTGTGCACTAATTAGAACGTCTATCAACCCGAATGGTTTTTTGGAAAGGAGGTGTCCCACTCACTGATAAAATATACGGGGGATAAAATATGAAAGATGAAAATTTGGGACAGAAGAAAGTGTGTCCATATTAGTGAGGTGTCCTTGTTTCAGGGGTTGAACTGCATGTAGAACTGTACTTGGGGAAAGAGAGGTGTCTTTAGAGAGGTGTCCTCATTTCAGGGACTACTGTTCATTGTAAAATGTCATTTTTTTTCAATCGTCTTGTCGCCAGTTCCGTCAGTTCAGAATGTACCTACCGAGGAAGACGGTGGCAGACGAGGCCCACCATAGCTACCTCGCTGCCCGCGTGGCCTCACCCACTCACCTGGACTCATTCTTCAAGTGAGACTCTCCCTGCATCCACCATCTCATTGCCTTACTCGGTCCTGTGCGGTCTCTCTCTCGCCAGGTCAGTAATGGTGGTGGAAGAAGGGCCTAGAACGTACCCTCCCTCCCTGGGGAAATCACCCCTGACGACGGGGGCCCCCTCAAACCAAACCTCGTTGCCTACCAGGTCTGTTGCCGTCTCTGAAAAAATCACCCTCTTTGTTTTGTCCCAACTAACATTACGACATCTCTGAATATAGGACACGTGAAGGTTCTGCATCATAGTAATGCATTAGTGTATTATACTACCTCTAAATAAAGCACACTCTCAATGTCCCCGAGGTGTCCCTTATTCAGAGGTTCCACTGTAGCGACAGCTCCCTCTGATTTCGCAATAGTAGGTGACAACGACGGTTCCGTTTGAGTTGGACATCGTCATGGAGACGGGGTTGTTTAGCACGGTGATGAGTGTGAGTGGTGAGAGGTTGAGCAGTGCGCTGGAGAAGAAGGAGAAGAACTTTGACCTCAGATTCGAGGACACCTTCCACCTCAAAGAGAAGGTTAGTGAGAAGAGAGGGAGGGAGATGTGCACTGAGTAAAAGACTGTCTCCCACACAAAAGTAGCTAATTTCCCAATTATGCTCTTGTCTTGAAGGGAATAGAAAAGGACCACTTAAGAGGTAACCTGACAAACATTAACTTCGTAGGTTGAATTCTACTATACCAAGGAAATGTTTTCGGACTTTTAGGCTTTGTATTATACAATACACTCTTATATTTTTTCTTTAACAATTTCTAATAGTGAAAGATTAAAGTTTCAAATCAGAATCGTAAATATTGTCATAAAATAAAAGACAAATGTTATAGAGTCTGTACGTTCCCGAGTGTGCAAAATTCCATCTCTGCTCAGGGGTTTAATGAGTCTGAGATAGACTGTGCCAGAGCCGCTTTCAGCAATCTGATTGGTGGGATCTCCTACTTCTTCGGCCAATCAAAGTGAGACTTAAAAACATCTGAAAATCCTCAGTTTTATTGTCAATTCCCACAGAGTTATTAGCAGGGATCTCGACGAACCGGTGGTAAGTCACATGATACTCACATGCAGTGGTCACATGACTAAATCCCGGTGTCACATGACTCTCATGTGATGGTCACATGACCTGCAGGACTACTGGCCGGCAGAGCTGTACACGGGGGTTCCGTCACGTTCCTTCTTCCCTCGAGGATTTCTGTGGGATGAGGGTTTTCACCAGCTGCTTGTGGCTCACTGGGACACCTCCATCACCAAGGCAACCAGCTCCTCTCACTTCCCTATTCCCAGTCCACCTTTGACGTTGTATAGCGTCGTATTTCACAATGGTCACTGGTTTCCCTTGCAACTAAAAATAGCTTAATACTTCCTTTTTATAGTTTTTGAAAGAAGTAATCCCTCGTTGCCCACTTATCTTTTTTTATATAATCGTGTGCTGTTTAGTTCACATGTAGAGATAGCTCTTCTCCCTCCTCTCCCTCCGCCTCCTCTCCCTCCTCTCCCTCCTCTCCCTCCTCTCCCTCCTCTCCCTCCTCTCCGTAGGATGTGTTGGCTCACTGGCTGGATCTCATCAACAGTGAAGGATGGATACCCAGGGAGCAGATCCTGGGACACGAGGCCAGGAGTAAGGTATGTTCAAATTAAGTACAGTGAAACCTCTAAATAATGCACACCTTTAAGCGTCCTTATTGAGCGGTATATACATATTTATTGAGAGGTATACACTAGTGTACAGTATGGGACAGAACCAAGTGTCCCTTTTAGAGAGGTGTCCTTTATTCGGAGGGTCTTTTTTCACTGTGTAATCCAGTGCTATATAGTGTGTGTATTAGCACTGGGATTAAAACAGTATCCTTTATAGAGAGGTGTGCATTATTTAGAGTGTCACTAATTATTTCCTCTCTCTCTCCTCCCTCTCCATGTCCAAAGGTTCCTCCTGAATTCATCGTCCAACACAACGAGAACGCCAACCCGCCCACATTCTTCCTCACCATGGAAACGCTGTTGTCTCGTATGGAGTCGGAGGGGAGGGTTGACATGGAGTACCTCGACTCCGTTTACCCCAGACTCCAAGTCTGGTACTCATGGTTCAACTCCACACAGGTACCTAACTCGTTTGACCAGTTTACCTGAACTACACCTTAGCATTGCCTTTCTTTTTTTGTCCTGTTCTTCCTTTTTGTGTTTTTGTTGTCTTTTGACGAATTATTTGTTTTGTATTGTTTTTGTGTTTGTAGTCGGGGCAACGACCTCTGACCTATCGTTGGAGAGGTAGAAATGCCACCACTGACAGGGAACTGAACCCTAAGGTATGCAGACGAGGCTCCGGCATTAGAGGTGATGTCATTGATGATGTAATGATGATGTAATCAGACACTGACGTCCGGGCTGGATGACTATCCGAGAGCCACTCACCCCGCCACTGATGAGTACCACGTTGACCTCTACTGCTGGATGACTCTTGCTAGTGGTGTGATGGCCAAAATGGCCGACCTCCTCAATAGTTAGTATCTCTCTTTCATATCTATTCATGTCGTCTTCCCTCTCTCTCCTCTTCTGTTCTGTTCTTATCTCGCTGGTTCACGCAACACTTTGATGTTTGTATCTCACGGTAATCTTCATATCATAATATGGCTTGTATCTCAGTGAATAAGTCTTTTAATGTCTTCATTTCATCAACATAACCTACATGTGTGAGCATATTCCATCTTTTCTCTCTCTCTCTCTCCTCCCTCTCTCTCCCTCTCTCAGAGGACTCCAGTTACTACTGGGCCACTTACAGAGCTCTAGCTGACCCCAGGAACCTTGACTCACTACACTGGGACAAACACACCATGGTAACCCCTTGCCTTGTTGACAGTTATCTCCAGCCATAGTCAAAGTATTTATGATGTTGGTCTGTCCTTCCCCCCACTTGCTTGCTAAAAGTACAAACAATTTAGGCCACCCTATTCTTTCACTGCACTCTCCAGCTATAGTCAAGGTATTCAGGATGGTTGGTAGGTCTGTCCTTCCCCCCACTTGCTTGCTAAAAGTACAAACAATTTAGGCCACCCTATTCTTTCACTGCACTCTCCAGCTATAGTCAAGGTATTCAGGATGGTTGGTTGGTCTGTCCTTCCCTCCACTTGCTTGCTTAAAGTACAAACAATTTAGGCCACCCTATTCTTTCACTGCACACACTTACAGAGCTCTGGGACAAACATACCATGGTAACCCCTTGCCTTGTTGACAGAATATTGCACTGTATTCTCCAGCTATTTATGACGTTCACTTTCAGACATATATACACAGACTATACCACCAGTAGCCCCTGTCACAATTCTGATCCAGGGGGATATGAGTCCGGTACTCCTGTTCTCGATACTCCAGTTAATGAGCACCCCTGGCAGTGGACGAATTTCCCTCCGCAAGTCCAAGACATCTCGTCCCTTCCTCGCTCCCCTGCGACACAATCTCGTCGCAAGCCACTCCCACTTCAGTCGGTGCCACTAGACGAATCGTTCGGCGTTGCCACTTCCTCCAGGCCCACGGCAACCGATAACAGACCTCTTCCGAAGACACGAAAGTTTACAAACTCCGAGGCAGTAGAACAGGAAGTGGGTGTGGCTCCGGTAGGATCGAGGGAGAGATCTCGTTCGCCCCCGACCGCCCGTGAAACACGTCCACCAGCGCAGCAGTGGAGGAGGAGAGGAGGGAGAACGTGTGGCGGCTGAAAAACCACCACCTCGTGTCCCCACCAGAGCCGTCTCAGTCACCCACCCCTCGCAGCAGTTTGAGGATTCCCCGGCCGTACCACCACGACGAGACCAGTCCAGCTTCACCGTCAGTCTTCCAGCCACCGAGTTCCAATTCGACAAACCTCTAGTCCCTCCAAAACCCCGCGTTCTTGAGCACAAACCCAACCATTCGGGCGGTGCTGTGGGTGGAATTCAGTATGCCACCATGAGATTCTCGCACACTGAAGACGTCGACTCAAACTATACTCAAGTGTATCCAAATCAGCGAACCACGTCTGTCGCATCCAGCGCAGGAGAAAGCGGAGGAGGTGGGGGGAAGGGAGAGGGGGTGACAGACGCAACGAAAGTGGTGTACCAGTCAATAGATTTCGATGTGACCGAAGGCCTCAGGAAGACGAAGGAAGACAGAGATAATCAGAGAAATCGAGAGATCGAATGGCTGCAGCGGGAGCAAAACCTCCTCAAGACCACTCTGACATGTACGGCTAAATAGCCAGAGACTAAGTCCTATCATCATACATGTTTGAATGAGAGATGTGTATTCTATGTACAGTATAATAGTGTATTGCGGTAATTTTAATCTCAGAGCCTTTTATATCCTTCACGCTCACATTCATTTTTTCGGTACATTGGTGTCATTTTTATGATTGTAAATTTACTTACCTTCCTTATCGACAAGGGTGTCAACGATTTTGCCTTTTTTGCAGGCACATGAATAATTGAAATGACAAACAAACCATCCCTAACACTTTAACTATAGTTGGAGTGTGGAATATAGAGCAACATTATCTTGCTTCTATTACATGCCCCTTAATTAAACCATTCCCTCACACTCTAACTCCTGAAAAGCACCATTTAATCGACAATTTATTCCAGTGGGAGAGAGGAGAAAGACTATTATCACAAATGCTACATTACAAACCACTGATTACATTATTATACAGATAATATAAAAATCAGCCGTAAATGGAGAGTTGCATAAAAGAGGAGAGAAAGTGAAATGAGAAGAAGAATAGCCACCGAAGAATAAGGCTACAGATGACAAACACAGTCATGTTAATGCAAGCAAAAACACAGTGAGAGACGACGGACATGAAGACTTATGACGTGTTTCAGAGACATGGAGAGAGTAGCTGATAAGAGGACTAGCCTGCGAGGAGCGTTGTGCCAGGAATAGTCGTATGTGGCTGGGGTATGTCGGAATACTATCACCTCTGAACACCTCACTTTCTCTGACAGGTAACCAATGTCTCCTGCAATGGCGAATCTTATCTCGCAAACACAATATTATTAACCTCAATCTCACTAAAATTCACATCTATTTCACGAACACACAATATCGCTCCTATCTTTAGCCTCTCTGTATTATTGCCCCTCGTTTGCAGAACGTCTCTCCCTTTCTCTGTGTGTATTCGTCTGTATACATAGCTACTCGTATAGTTATACCAGAGCCAGTCATGGAGATGGTGAAAGATCCGAAGTGGGTCTCTCCATTCTCGTCTGAGAAGATTCTAGCGACACCCAGCTGGCGTACGTTGATTGTGCGCAACTACAGTCCTCGCTCGTACTGCATGACGCTAGCATCGCGACATACGGATGAGATTTAACGCGCGCTGAATAATTGAACAGAGGAAGCGGATTGGTGATGAATGTGAGATTGAGAACGGGAAATGAGAATGGAATGGAATGGAGTCTTTGTGTAGTGTGCAGTGAATGCTGGATGGTAAGGAGAAAACAGACAGTGGGTGGTAGCAACAGACAGTGGTGGTTGGTGGTATAATGTTCACGTCTTCTCTAACATGTCT